GAAAAAGGAAACAAACACCAAAAGTCGCCAAAAGTCACCAAAATCACCACTAACGTCACACAGTACTCCTCACTACTAAACATTTTTAAGAAATATTGGTGCATCTTTTATACTGTAGCAGTTTAGCGCTCGTCAAACCACAGAAGTGCACTGAACACTCTGAAACACTCTGAACCAATCACAGAGCGGAACATTCACTGAGCCAATGAAACGCTTCGATACACTGAAGCGATCGACACGCAGAGTGAAGCAGTCAGGGGAGGGACCGACACTTCCACACTTTGGTCACGTGAGCGGCTGCTGCGAGACGAGCTCCGAGGCAGAGCTTCAGAGCAATTTGTTTCAGAAAGAACGAGACGTGCTCCAGAGCTCTGACTCATTTGCCCGTCACTAACTGTTTACTGCTTTTTATGAAGAAATACAATTGATATTATGCAGAATTGAGTTAAGCGTTTTGTCCCAACCCTCCACATTATTTTCTGTTTCTCATGTTTCCCCAATGCAAAAAAGAATTGCCCACCCCTGGCTCAGACGCAGGATGGTTGTGCTGATGTGCAGGAGGAGGTGAGGCAGAGGAGAGGACATTTGAAGAGTTTTAGAGGTGACTAGTTGAGGGGCAAAAGGTAGCCTGGCCAGCTGCGATTATCTGACGGTGACACGAAGTTCAAAAAAAAAAAAAAGCACTATTCTTGATTAAATGTCCACGTGGGCCCTTTTTAGTTTCATTCCACTTTTACTGAGATGCGTCAACGTCTTCATTTTGACATTTAGTACTGTCACATTGTGTCTGTGGATCGGGAAAGCAGAAAAAATAAGCTTGACCTACATGACAACCACAACAACAACAACAACATTCATATCCCTGTGACCCTGAAACCTTAAAATCGCAGAAAGTATATCAAATAAAATAACCAAGCAGTAATAATACATCAAATGAATCTAAAAGAAAAAAGGAAAAGGCACAAAGCCTTTTAATTCATTTTGTTTATTAAATTTTCTTATTTCATTTCATTTCATTATATTGTTACTTATTTTTCTTTTTGTTTTCTTTTGGTTTTTTTTCTTTTGCTTTATTATTACTATTTTACATTTTTTGTTGTTGTACTTTAACCAAAAACTGAATCTGTCAAACCGTTAAACCAATCCTGTAGTGGTGACACAGTTTTCACACACAAAATATATGTCAAATGCATGTACATATTTACTAGGGATGCAACAATAACCGAAATATCGTGATATTTAAAACCAAAAAACCAAAAATAAGACAATGAAAAAACAACTAATTTTTTCATTATTTGTCTCGTAAACCAAGATGAAAAAACAGATAACAATTTGTTTTTCTGTTTTCGATTTTGTGTTTAAATGAATAATGGAAAAAATGGATAATGGCCGTTTCTGTAAAACTGAGATGCCGGACTGAACCAGGACTAAACCAGGACTGAGTGTCGGGATGGGCCCGGGGGTGTGCCTGCGTAGGCTGTCGGGTGATCAGGACTGAGACCAGGACCAGACTGGGACCAGACCGGGACTGAGACTGAGACTAGATTGAGACTAAGACCAGGACTAAGACTGAGACTGGGACTAGACCAGGACTGAAACCGGGACCGGACCAGGACCAGACCGGTACTGAGACTGGGACTGAGCTTGAGACCAGACCAGAACTGAGACCAGGACTGAAACTGGGCCCAGACCAGAACTGAGACCAGAACTGAGACTGGGACCAGACTGGAACCAGACCAGGACTGAGACCAGGACTGAGACTGGGACCAGACCAGAACTGAGACCAGAACTGAGACCAGAACTGAGACCAGAACTGATACCGGGACCAGACTGGAACCAGACCGGGACTGAGATCAGGACTGAGACCAGAACTGAGACCAGGACTGAGACCGGGACCAGTCCTGGTCTAGTCCAAGAATCATTATCTGTTATCCTTTTTTTCATTTTGGTTTTGGAGACAAATAATGAAGAAAATAGTTGTTTTTTTTGTTTTCTTATTTTTGGTTTTATATTGAAAAACGAATGAACGAATGAACACATTCTTAAGGCGTTCCGAGGCAAATGTATTTCTCCAGCTGGATTCATCCCGCGGAGAGTTCAGACAACAGAACCGAATTTGTACCGAAATTGCCCCTATTCACAATGTGTCAATATTTTCTATGCATTTTGTACAAATGATTTTCTATAGTCTGCCTTCAAAGCCGAATTATCAGGAGGAGATTGCCCCAGCCCTTCTTCCAGATCCCGTCTCCGTAGCACTCGCCTGCTCTTTGTCTGCGCACGTGGCCCCTCAGCGGCTCTGGAACGGCTGTAATAGCGTTTGTCTTTGAAGTGACAGAGCGCTGCCGTGGACCGGGCCCGGACTGTGTTAAGTGCTCCAGGCTCCACGTGCTTTGGCGCTAACCGCGTATATCATCTAATCAGCCATCTCCATACCTCCCACCACGAGAGCAGAGCACGCCCAGTCCCACACTATCGATTTTGTCATTTGAATTAATGGTCAGCAGGTTTGTAATGCACCAGGACTGGAACCAGGCAGAAACAGAGAAATTTGTCTCTAGATTTATGGATAATAGGTTTGTGCGATATGGTACATGATGTAAGATATACGCAACGTTGAATATTCCCAATTATTATTCAAATTTTAAGTCAAAGTGACCTTACTGTGTAAAAATATTTCTGTAATATAAGTCAGAATTATGATCAGCCGCTAAGAGTCACCTTCATTTAGAATCCATTATCTTGAAATGACCACTTTGTCCGTTCACAACTGAAAAAGCTCTTAAGGTAACAAAAATAGAAAGTGGTTATACAGCGTGTGGAAACTGCACACGCTTTTGGTAAAGTTGGTTAAATAGAGTTTGATATTTTATTATTTATTTATTTATTTCGTTAACAGGTATTTGGGTCCAGTCAAGTGGTAACGGAGGGAAACGGGCAGATTTTTGACATTCAAATGTCTCTTATTCAGAAACTAGAGGGACTATTGAAATAAGTAAAGTATCAGAATGTAGGAAAGAGTTACACTCCAACAGGGTCAAGTTAAACTGTGATATTCTTTCAAGTTGTTGACAAAAAATTTTAAAACTCATGTCGGTAACGGAGGGAATGAAATATGCAGCACTTTTTTTGTCAGTGATAACTCTTGGTTCTCACTTACATATCCTTAACAAACTGGTTTGAATATTTGCTTCATATAGTTTTCTACCATATGGTACAAGATTAGGTTGAAAAACCTCTTACTTTTTGAGTAAAGAGATTTTTTATTAAGAAAGGTCATGGTAACAGAGGGAAAAGTAACGTAGGGAAAATTGTACAAACAAGTAGAAGGTGCAGGATTTTACATCATTTGTCGCTTTTTTCTTCTGAATACTTTAATATTACTTCAAAATGAAAGGAAACTATTTCTATAAAATATGTCAGTCCTTCTAAGCAAATTTTTATCATTTTAATTTTAATTTTTTTTTTTTTGAAAAATCATGTACCTTCATCAACATTTCAAAGATCAAATAACACAAGATATGTTTCATACATGGTCTGTTTAAAACGTATGGAAATTTAGAACCAAAAATGGTACAGAAAAAAGGTCAACAGTTTCATAAACTAGAGTACATATGTATCTGTTCAATACATTTTTATATCAGATGTATTAACTTGAATTTTTGGCCTTGATGTTTACTTCTGCTTGACCGGGCCCATATTTTGACATTAATTCACAGACAGTCATATTTAACAGACCGAAAAGGTGTCGGCTGAAGCTTAAGCTTATTATTCCTGCCCTTTATTCCTTTATCAAAGTATCATCTTGACACCAGTTCATCTTCATAAATACAGCAGGAGGAAACAAACAAATCAGTAACAGTACAACAAAGTACTACAGCACAAACTAAGTATCATATTTCATGTATCTGTCCAGAGTTAAACATTTAAACTTCTTTATAAAGTGAAAGACACTGGTGCACAATTTGAGGTTTTCTGTACAATTGTTCCAGAGGCTCCACCCCTTTAACAGATTTACAAAATTTCATAATGTTAGTTCTGATTTTCTTTTTGATAAATATGGTCGTGCCTCTGAGTTCGTATCGGCTCTTTTGGATTTTGAACATGTTCTGTAAAGATTTTGACAGGAGATTGTTGTTTACTTTGAACATGATTTTCAGAGTATAAAGGTCGACTAAATCATAAAATTTCAGTGTTTGAAGGTTTTTAAATAACACATTGGTTGGTTTGTTAAAAGCTGATCATGTGATTGCTCTTATTGCCTTATTTTGCAGGTAAAGACTGGATTTGTATTAGTCTTATATGTACTGCTCCAAATCTCAATAGAGTAGGGTATGTAGGGCATTACCAGCCAGTTATATATAATAAAAAGACTGTTTTTATCTAGAATATATCTATATTTGTATATAATTGTGATCACTTTGAATAACTTATTTCTAATTTTATTTATGTGCGATTTCCAGTTTAAATTATGGTCTATAGTTACTCCTAAAAATTTATTTTGAAAGACTCTAGTGAATATTTGAAGAGAAATACTGTCACTCAATGCAACCATACCAGGCTGTTGATGTTTTTGTGAATATCAGTGTTTTTTGTTGTTGAAAATAACAAAACTTGTTATTCGAGCGCACCACTTACACAAACTAATAATACAGTATATGAGTAACCTTGGACTAACCTTCTTGACCAGTGTGTGTACATATAGTGGCTAATGCCTTTGGACTGGAGCTGTACACAGGTGTAATTTAGACATAAATATCACTTAGACATTGGTACTCCTGTTAGAAGCTGGCTTTTCTAACCTCTAACTACATTAACCTTGTGCTGGGGAATAGTGTGTTTACTTCGTACGAGTAGCGGTGTATTCCAGTGAGCTCCTGACAGTAGTACTTGTGTTTTAAAGTGACTGAGGGTGTGTCTAGGTTCTCTGTGCTCTGTCTGTTGACTTCATGTTTTTCTGTGTTCATTCTGTATATATCTGTGCTGTACTGTCTCTGTAGGTGGGGAATCTAGGTCTGCTCTTCATGTTGCTGTTCTTCATCTATGCAGCTCTGGGAGTTGAGCTCTTTGGAAAACTGGGTTAGTGTGTGTGTGCGTGCACGTGCATGTGTGTGCATGAGGGTGGCACGTGTGTGTGTGTGTGTGTGCGTGTGTGTGTGCATGCAGCTGACACTGTAGTCAGATCTCTATTTGATTATGTAAGAGGCTTACACTTGCTGTGGTGCATATATTTATAAGTGAGTTTAGAGTCAGATCTAGTGTGCACACAGTCGTCCTGTTGTGTCAGCGCGACCCTGACTTTCTCTGATCCTCTTTCAGAGTGTTCGGACGAGAACCCTTGTGAAGGCCTTAGTCGCCACGCCACCTTTGACAACTTTGGCATGGCCTTCCTCACGCTCTTCAGAGTGTCCACAGGGGACAACTGGAATGGGATTATGAAGGTTACTTACCTCTCTCCTCTACAGCTCCACACAGGGCCTCAAAGTGCCATCTAGTGGCCTCTCGGCCTCTTTTCACTGTTCAAATTTAGAAATAGGACAAGATTTAATCAAACACTTATGTTTTACTGGTAATGTGGGGATTCACACAGAGTTTTATTGTTTTACTGTGTAGTACGTCTTATATGTACGACACAAACTCTTAATATGATCCTGCAGGACACTTTGCGGGAGTGCCGGCCCCAGGACCGCCACTGCCTGAGTTACCTGCCCCTCATCTCCCCGGTGTACTTCGTCACGTTCGTGCTGACCGCTCAGTTCGTCCTGGTCAATGTGGTGGTGGCTGTCCTCATGAAGCACCTGGAGGAGAGCAACAAGGAGGCCCAACTGGAGGAGATGGAGGAGAGAGAGGAGCGAGAGAGGGAGAAGGAGAGGGAGAGAGAGAGGGAGGAGGCGGCCCGCAGACACAGCACCACCTCAGTGGGCCTAGAGCAGGGCTCCAACGGAGACACACCTGCACAGGTAACACTGTCCCTGGGACGGTACAGGCTGTGGGGATGATTTCACATTCACCAGTATTTACCCTTCCACATTGACCGGATCATATACCATACAATAGGTTTTATATTTTATATAAGATAGAAACTGTTTTTTCCTTGAAAAGCTGTTGATGTAGGGAAAACATGTGTTTAATAGGAATTTTGTTTTCAGTCACACACATTCGCTCCGTCCATTTTGATTGGCCCAAACTGTGCTAAAGAGTGTAGTGAGTCAAAATGGTCGATGCTCTGAGCGTCTGTTTTCAAAACAATTGAAAAAGTCGCTCTAAGTGCACTTATTTCTCAAATAAGTTTGTGCATCTTAGTCTGTGTAATTGTGCATCCTTTGCTATTTTTATTTGAAAGGTTTATGTCAGTCAAAATGTCCAAATCCAAATGTAATAAACTCCATGGAAAATGCAGGAAGTGATGTGGCTCTGTGTCCTGGACCTGACACCAGCTGTTTCCATGACTGACACCAGGAAAATCATGGGGCCATTGCACGTTTTTTTTTTTTTTTTTAGTTTTGAGGCAATAAGGATATTTTTTATTTACTTACAGTCTTGATATTTTGCACTTTTGTAGCTAAGGCCCTAAACTAAGCATTTTTTTTATATCCAAAATGTTTATACATGTTTGCTGTGGGTTTTATATGAAAGAGTTTTGTTTTGTTTTTTTTGGTCCTGGTCCTGTGTCTTTTATTACAGCCATATGACACAACTCCAGCATGCAGAATGTGAAATAACAGGTTGTACTGATAAAAAGGATGTACAACGCTTCATTAGGGGGTAAAAGGGGAGTTTTAATAACAAAATTAAGAGAATTTCCCGGTGAGAACAAATGTAGTAAAATTGCCCTTAGGTCTGAGAGGTTAAACCATTTGTTTTCTCATATAAGGATAATGGGACTTCACTACAGTCATGTCATTGGACCACAACATTTCCACTCATTCATAAAGCAAGAAACAGAAAAGTCCCATAGTTTCATGTGACCTTTGTATTTCCTGGCCTTGATGAGGTGAAGAGATTTGGTGATGTCATTTCCTGCCTGTATGAAAGGTGGGAGAGCAAAGGTGAGTGTAATGATGACAGCTCCAACGATGATGTGTGCAGGTGCCTGCGGAGGAAGATGAGCGTTCCCATGGCAACCTGCTGAGCATAGGCCGCATGCTGTCTCTCCCCAGCGACAGCCATGTGCAGCCTCTGCGGTGCACCCCGTACCCTCCCATTGGCCACGAGCCCTACTCCAAATACAGCTACTCAGGTAACTCCACTTCTCTCTTTATGGCAAAATGATTAGGAGCATTTGAACTTCCGAGCTAAAGTGGATTCTGAATGGACCATTGCCTCCGCTAATAGACTGACGAGAGAAGCAAAGTCTGGATTTAAAAAGTAGAGGGTTTGCAGAATTGTACTACTTCTACAATAAAGCCTTGGAGATGAATCACATTTCACAAAGACTTACATTTTTCAGATCATATAAAGAGTAATTTTGCAGTTCTTAAGTGCTCCTTAAGTGCTCACATTATGTGTAAAACTAACACTGAGTCTTGTACTTGCTCTCCAACTACTACTACTACTACTATTACTACTACTACTACTACTATTACTACTACTACTACTACTCCTACTTCTGCTGCTGCTACTACTACTACTACTACTACTACTACTACTACTACTACTCTTACTTCTGCTGCTGCTACTACTGATACTACTACTACTACTACTTTTGCTACTACTACTAATACTACTACTACTTCTACTACTACTACTACTATTACTACTACTACTACTACTACTACTACTACTGCCACTGCTATTACTACAACTACTACTACTACTACTATTACTTCTGCTGAAACCACCACTACTACTGCTACTACTATTACTACTACTCCTACTTCTGCTGCTACTACTACTACTATTACTACTACTACTGGGCCCAGTCAAGCAGAAGTAAACATCAAGGCCAAAAATTCAAGTTAATGCGTCTGATATAAAAATGTATTGAACAGATACATATGTATTCTAGTTTATGAAACTGTTGATCTTTTTTCTGTACCATTTTTGGTTCTAAAGTCCCATATGTTTTAAACAGACCATGTATGAAACATGGAACAAAAATTATTTCCCAAATTTCAAAGACCTGAAAATCATGTCAATAAATGGATGTATTTCATCATATCTTGTGTTATTCCATCTTTGAACTGTTGATGAAGGTACAGGATTTAAAAAAAAAATGTATTTAAAATAATAAAAATTTGCTTGGAAGGACTGACATATTTTATAGAAATAGTTTCCTTTCATTTTGAAGTAATATTAAAGTATTTGGAAGAAAAAAGCGACAAATGATGTAAAATCCTGCACCTTCTACTTGCTTGCACAATTTTCCCTCCGTTACTTTTCCCTCCGTTACCATGACCTTTCTTAATAAAAAATCTCATAACTCAAAAAGTAAGAGGTTTTTCAACCTAATCTTGTACCATATGGTAGAAAACTATATGAAGCAAATATTCAAACCAGTTTGTTAAGGATATGTAAGTGAGAACCAAGAGTTATCACTGTTTGGATTTATTGCCCAAAAAGTGCTGCATATTTCATTCCCTCCGTTACCGACATGAGTTTTTAAATTTTTTGTCAACAACTTGAAAGAATATCACAGGTTTAACTTGACCCTGTTGGAGTGTAACTCTTTCCTACATTCTGATACTTTACTTATTTCAATAGTCCCTCTAGTTTCTGAATAAGAGACATTTGAATGTCAAAAATCTGACCCTGTTTCCCTCCGTTACCACTTGACCAAACCTTACTACTACTACTACTACTACCACTGCTATTACTACGACTTCTGCTGCTGCTGCTACTACTACTACTATTTCTGCTGCTACCACTACTACTACTACTACTATTTCTGCTGATACCACTACTACTACTACTACTACTACTACTTCTGCTGCTACTACTACTACTAATACTAATTTTGCTGCTGCTACTACTACTTCTCCTGCTGCTGCTACTACTACTACTACTACTACTACTACTCCTGCTGCTACTACTACTACTACTACTAAAACTACTACTTCTGCTGCTGATGCTGCTGCTGGTACTACTACTACTACTTCTGCTGCTGATGCTGCTACTACTACTACTACTACTCCTGCTGCTACTACTACTACTACTACTACTTCTGCTGCTGATGCTGCTACTACTACTACTACTACTACTACTACTACTGCTGCTGCTGCTGCACTTACATTTTTCAGATCATATAAAGAGTCATTTAGCAGTTCTTAAGTGCTTTTTAAGTGCTCACATCATGTGTAAAACTAACACTGACTCTTGTACTTGCTCTTGTACTATTTTACTGGCACAAGTATGAGCAGCAGTATTTCACAATTCTGTTACTCAAGAAGAAGTGTAAATTAGCGGTGCGAGATATTGCTCAGGTGTGAAAGTATTTGTGGAAACTGTCACTCAAAGCGGTAACAATAAATGCAGTAAAAGCAAAGACAATTTAATGTTGTCGACGTAAAGCTTTTGTCCATGTAGAGGTACTCACAGTGAGAAGAAGAAGCACAGCTTTTACTCAAGTAAAAGTACTGTTAAATACCTCTCAAGTAGGAGTAAAAGTATGGTACAAAAAACTACTGAGAAGTACATTCAAATGAATTAAGTTGTACAATTGATTCTACTTGAGAACTACCCACTACTACTACTACTACTACCACTACTACTACTACTACTACTACTCCTGCTGCTACTACTACTACTACTTCTCCTGCTGCTGCTACTACTACTACTACTACTACTACTACTACTACTACTACTACTACTACTACTACTTCTCCTGCTGCTGCTACTACTACTACTACTACTACTACTCCTGCTGCTACTACTACTACTACTACTTCTCCTGCTGCTACTACTACTACTACTTCTGCTGCTACTACTACTACTAATACTAATTTTGCTGCTGCTACTACTATTACCACTACTACTACTACTACTACTACTACTACTACTACTACTACTACTACTACTACTACTACTACTGCTACTACTACTACTACTACTACTACTACTACTACTACTACTACTACTACTACTACTACTACTACTACTACTACTACTACTACTACTACTACTACTACTACTACTACTACTACTACTACTACTACTACTACTACTACTACTACTACTACTACTACTACTACTACTACTACTACTACTACTACTACTACTACTACTGCTACTACTACTACTACTACTACTACTACTACTACTACTACTACTACTACTACTACTACTACTACTACTACTGCTACTACTACTACTACTACTACTATTACTACTACTACTACTACTACTACTACTACTACTACTACTACTACTACTACTACTACTACTACTACTACTACTACTACTACTACTACTACTACTACTACTACTACTACTACTACTACTACTACTACTACTACTACTACTACTACTACTACTACTACTATACTACTACTACTACTATTACTAACACTACTACTACTACTATTACTATCACTACTACTACTACTATTACTACTACTGCTACTACTATTACTACTACTACTACTGTTACTACTACTGCTACTACTATTACTACTACTACTACTGTTACTACCACTACTACTACTATTACTATCACTACTACTACTACTATTACTATCACTACTACTACTACTATTACTACTACTACTACTACTACTACTACTACTACTACTACTACTACTACTACTACTACTACTATTACTACTTCTACTGCTGTTACTTCTACTGCTGTTACTACTACTACTTCTACTGCTGTTACTTCTACTGCTGTTACTACTACTACTACTACTACTACCTACAACAATAATAAAAATAAGAAAAAAGAATGTTGGAGTTGGAGTAAAAAGAGTGAAAAGTGTTTGTTGAGGCTCAGCTGTGTCGGCCTGAGTGCTCTGGGATATTGCTGTTACAGAGGCTGCTAGTTCTGCTCTTAATACTCTCAAATCTATTTCCTGGAGCAAGGAACATCAAGTTCTGGATTTGTCAGTCTTTGTTTTGTTCCGACCCGACTTGAGCCAGAGCCAGTAATAAATGTCAGACAGCCCCGCCACGTCAACACCAGCGGCCATCAAAGCGTTTCCAAGGCCCGGCGCTCACGTCACACATGCTACTATTTTGTTGTATGATTGCAGATGGATGTATTCTCTTTCTAATTGTTGCTTATAGGTACACTGTTTTGGTTTAGTTTTTTTCTTTAGTGATGCAGAAGATAATTAACAGGTGCAGATGAGACAAGATAATCCCTGTGAGGAAGCTGTGGTCTTAACAACAAAAAACTGTCTTTTACCAGACAATTTTTAAAAATACAGCTCCTCTCACTCCGGTGTAGGACTGAAAGTTTTAAGAATCCTTTGTGCCTGCAGCCGTCCGTCATAGGGGTCATAACCGCACCTGTCACCTGTCAATAGTAGTTTTAACATGCGCTCCCCCTGCAGGTGTAGTCTTACAAGTGCAGTTTGGGTCAGATACATGGAGATACAGATTCATTTTGTGAGCTTTTGCTACACGACTACTCGGTTGGTTTAATTAAGAATTCAGAATACAGCCGTACAGAAACATCAGTCTGGTTCTTCTACCTGTTTGTGTTCATAAAGACGAGGCACGAGGCCAAGTTACAGGTCAGATAAGTAGATGATTATTTAAATTAAAAACACTAGTGATTTCAGAAATTCTAGATTAAATGCTATATTATGGAACATTTTTAGGCAAGTGTATTATTAAAAGGCCTGTTGATATGGCATAGTGGATGAGATGATTTGGATGTAACAGTATTCCAAACATACTGTACAGTATTAATATCATAATACAGCTTTTAACTTTTTTAAACTAAAATCTTCAATAAATACTTTTTATTTTGATTTAGTGATTCAAGCAGAACAGATTATATTAGTGTCCAATTTAAGCCAATTGAAAAAGTGATAAAAACCCAAGTCGTCAGCATTGTGTTTATGTAATCCCACTCTCAGACAAACACAGGCTGGCACAGGGCTCCTTGGCAGAAGGTAATTCCCCCAAACAGCCTGGCTCCTATTTCACCAACTGTTATTGAACAGAAGCAAAGAGCATTTAGCAGGACGTCTCTGAGCTAATGTGTGTGTGTGTCTGCATGTCACCTCAGGGAGATTTACGCTAACACAAGGTGAGGGCGGAGCCACTCCAAATAAATGTTTATTTAACAGTGTAGCCAGGAGCCCGTTCCGGGCCCCCCCACCGTGGGATCAGTTTGGACTTCAGCCCTGTGTGCATAGACTTCAAATCCTGTGAAAACACTGGACACATTCAAACACACTGATAATGTAAGTTAAGGCACGTTATATTGTCCCCATAGAGAAATTAGTCCTCTGTATTTGACCCGTCCTTCAGTGCAGCTGGGCAATAGTGAACACCACAGTGCAGAGCCCAGAGACCCATCTGCTGCTCAGGACCACCTCAGCTGGAGGCTTGTACCTTGTATGAGGCTTGTACCTTGCATGTTTGGGTTGATGTGGGAAACTGAACATACAACTTTTGTACTATTGGAGAGTCAGGTCAGGATTAGTGTGGACTTTAAAAACCCACAGGAGCATATTCAGGTTCCTGCTGTGTGTGTAGTTAAAAGTCTGTGTTTGCTGATGTGTTCAGAGTGGGACACACACCTGAACAAAGACTCCAGGACGACTTTTCACACACACTTTTATAGTGTTTTGCATCGCTGTGTGGGGACTGCAGTGGAACACCTGTGCTGTGAATGACACATGTTTAGCTGCATACATTCCTTATGAAAAGTGCACAGTAGTTGATCCCTGTTGTTGTGCTCTTGTGCACAGGCTCTGTGTCGTCCCTGGGTTCCAGCGGGGCCAGCTCTCTGCTGCAGGTCCCTGGAGCTCTGCCCAGCATCAGTCATGCGTCGCTGGGCACAGGCCGCAGCAGCAGGCCCATGATCTGCCTCAGCCCCTTCCAGAGCATCGACCGCTGCTCCTCCATCCGACTCAGCCCCTCCGACAGCGTGGAGGGCTACCGACTAAGCCCCGCCCACCGCATCCACCGCCACAGACTCAACTCCGCCCACAGCATCGACGGCTACCGCTTCAGCCCCACGCGCCGCATCAACCGCCACCGCCTCAGCTCCACCCGCAGCGTGGACGGGTACAGGCTGGCACAGGACGGCGGGGGGGGGCGGCCGAAGCTCGTGTCCAGTTACAGCATGGACAGACAGGGCTCTCTCAAACACAGCCCCACACACACCAGCAGCAGGAGGCCCCAGCGCTGGCTCAGTCCTGAAGACAGTCTGGACAGGAACAAGCTGAGCCCCTCCTACGTCCCTGAGCGCTCAGGGCCCCAGAGGCCCGCCTCCTTCCACACGACCGGACGACAGCTCCGCAGACAGGTACCACAGAGAAGCTTTACTTATATATATGTGCAGTATATCATCTCAAAAAGAAGTGATTTAAAGTGCTACAAAATTTAAATATAACTTTACATTGTCTGTGTCAAGTGTTTTCTAAAATCTGCAAAATGTTCAGTGACGAACGGGTCAACATTGCATTGATTCTCTGTGAGGCTTTATAAAAATGTATTTACTGTCAAGATACGTGCAGGGACACATTTAGCAATAACCTCTGTGTCCTGGATGTTGTACATATAGAGTTCAAGTGATTTTTATTTGAATACACTTTAAAATACTCACATCCGTTTGAGTAATTGCTCCTTTAACTTGAGCACTGCTGCACAGTTCATCCTGCTGTGGGAGGAGGATTCTTACAGTATGTCTCTCCCCGCTCAGCCCCAGAAGAAGACAGGAAAGCCCAAATATGGTGCAGACAAACTCCACACTGACTGTCCCTGTGTGAGGTGCTGCTCTTTAAATGGAAAACTCTTCAATAGATCAAGTACTGACAAAACATTCAGAAAAGCCCCAAAAGTTTTCATCTGAGATTCATTCTCTCTTTAATGTAACATCACTTCCTGCCTGAGGACAACCCACCAGTTTGACATTTCTACTACGTGACACTTGACAATTTATGTTACAAAAAACCTGCTAAACAAATGCTCCATGAGAATGAGGTTTAAAGGGAATGTCTGAGGAAGTCCTCCTTAGATGTGATGTTACAGTCAGTATATTTATCAGGCGTTTGATGTGTTCTTAGTGACACAGGGGCAGATTGAGTTTAAACAGGTTGAACATTAGCAGAGGAGAACTGGCACAGGCCTGACTGTGTCTTTAAACATGACTTAAAGCAGACGAGCTCTGTTACTCTGCTGTGTGCTCATGTCTGCCTTTTGTTCTCAGGAGGCGGTGCGCAGTGACTCTGTGGAGCAGAGTGGCAGTACAGAGGAGCTAACAGCAGACACACATCTGACTGTGCCCTCAGCCTCACCCCAGCGCAGACGCTCCTCCAGTGTGCACACGCTCAAGTGTGCCCACACCCAGAGGGTCATCTCCTGTAGGAGCACCAGCACCAGTCACAGCCGCTGCCGAAGCTCAGAGCCCACGCCGGACGCAGCGGAGACAACACAGACAACAGAGACAGCAGAGGCACCTCAGAGCCTCAGTGTCTCTCACCCTGACTCTCCCCTCCCCAGCAGACTGAGCGCGCCCCAGCACACGCCCGAGGGAGACGAGACAGACTCTGAGGTCAGCCGCATCACCAGCTCGGCCCACGCGCCCCCACACACGGGGGACACGAGCAGACACCTGCCAGGACGCCTCAGCCAATCACTGTCCCCGGTGTCGGGCAGGAACAGGAAACACAGGGTCAGCCCGCCCCCCGACGACCAGCCCGTTACCATGACCACCCAGCTCACGGACAGCAGCGTGGAGCTGAGGAGACGGACTCTGTCATTTGATGCCACTAGCCTCTCTCCCAACCCTCCTGATGGCAGCTCTGTAGACGACTGAACTAGTCATTTTAGGCTTCTCTCACATCATTCATCCAATCCCACGTGTGAAGTGGCTCTGACTTCGTCCGTGCAGCAGCACACATGCACAATCACGTCCTCTCCTCTCATGGTCATAGCTTTAGCTCTCACACACTCACAAACCATCTGGACCTGCCTGCTCCCTCACCCCAGCCTAGGTCACAGCACTCACAATCACACCACAAATTTGAAATATAAGCCTAAAGCATTTCTCATCAGCTTCTGAAGACAAGGCAAGTTTTTGTGGGCATTAAAGAGGTGATGAAAAGGCTCTGAGCATGAATACTAATAATATGGTGAAGCTTTACAGGGTTATTGCATACTGTATTATAAACTGATTTTGATACTGTTTTTCTCATGAATCTCACTGCCGACCTCGCCAAATACACTCCATCACATGTGACTGTAACAAGCCTTTGTGAATAATCCTTTACGTTTTACACTGTTTAATCATTTCATTGTAACATCACTGCCAAAAACACTTTTGATCAATTAATCATGAAGTTTTAAAAAATATAGACTAACAATGAAAAATGAAGATTCTCTGGCAGTTCAATCCGACACCAGCATTTAGTCATTTGCTTTGAGTTTAATAACATTTACAGCAGGGTTGAGCATATGAAGATATTACCAGGTTTTCGATTTATGATTTTACAAATATTCCGTGTTGGCCAGTATTGTGACCTGGGCTGAGACAATCTCTACCTCGCCATCCCCTCCAACCATCTGAATGTCTGTGTCTCCCTCTCCCCCTCCTCTGTTTCTTAGATTTCTCAGGGTAGAGCTAGTTCAGACCACAGCATGAGCGATGGCCGGAGCTACAGTGCCCCCTGCTGTCCGGAGAGGAGAAGAGACAAGCGAGGTGTGGAGATACAGAAGGGCTTACCGTAGATGATCAAACTGCTAGACAACACTTTTAGACAAAGGTTAAGATTCTATTTTATTAACATAACAGTGGTGTTTTGAATGTGTGGGCTGGAGTAAGTTTGGATGAAGAACATATGGTGGATGATGCAAATATATATATAGATATATATACATTTATGAGATGATGTTGCTGCAGATTTGAATGGCGTACGCTCACCTGCAGTGGCATGTTTAGACAGTGTTTAATAAAACCACTTCCTGTCTGACTTTCAGCAAAGCTCTTGTCTTTTCTTTCCACTCTTCTTGTTTAATAGAATCAACTGAAATGAATATTAGAATGATTTATATTACAGGGAGGGCTCTCAGAAGTATCCAAAATCCTAATACTAATCAAAACTAAAACTTGTATCGAAACTAGATCCTCATTTGAGCAGGTTTTGATCCAAAAAAGCCACATTCACATACGTCATATGGTTAGGCTACACATTTCAGTAAAATATTCACATCACTATACTCAAGATTTTTGCATAGTTTTTTACAGTTTGGGTGAAGTTTATCATTTTAATTCCTGGTTGACAGCAGATATGACATATGTAATTCCATAACAGCAACAGTGTTTACAATAGCCAATATTTTATTTGGTTAAATCTATGTTTAATCTGTCAGAAATATCTGTTCCTTGTACATAAGTTGTTCTACATTTCTAGGATTTTTTGGCGTTGATGACATGAGTAGAGGTGTTCCATTTTAGAACTCACCTGGATTTTTGTACTTTTCTTTTCAACTTTTATCCACAACCTGTGACTTTTGTCACTGAAGTCACACTCAAAAATAAATAATAATAATGCATCAGTTTTATACAGCGCTTTTCTAGACACTCAAAGACGCTGTACAGAGCATTATTCATTCACTCCACACTCGGTGGTGGTAAAATACTATTAGTAGTAGTCACAGCTGCCCTGGGACAGACCGGCAGAAGTGAGGCTGCCAATCTGCGCCATCTGCTCCTCCAACCGTCACCAACACTCATACACACACACACACACACAACTGTCATTCTAGACAATGTGGGTGAAGTGCTTTGCCTTAGGACACAATGACAGTTTGTGTGACTGGCGCCCCCCTGTGGCTTCTGATTTTCCCAGTGGTCTCCACCCGAGTACTAACCAGACCTGACCCTGCTGAACTTCTGAGATCTGACAGGATCAGGTTTTGACAGGAGGTTTGGCAACAAATATGCTTTTAATGTTTAATTAAAAATGAGTGTTTACCAGGTGATCATGGACATAACTCACGTATTTAACAGTAAAAATGTGAATTTTGTAGTACTGCAATAATCATACACATCTGAAAAGTCACATTTGTTGTTTATAGCAGACCTGATTGTGGGTTTGTCGTATTTCTGCGTTTCTTTTCCTTTAAATTCCCTGTTAACTTCACTCCTCCTCCAGCTTGACCCTGGCTGTGGGTCAAATGTAGAAAACAACACAACACAAGAAAGTCTATCATTTTATTTTATATAATTCCATGACAATATTCTAATACTCAATCAAATCATGTATAAACGTGTTTAATGTGGCCAAACCCCCTTTTGTTAAAACCTGAAGCCTCAAAAGCTGTAATGGAACACAAATACTGTTGTTGTGTCCTTAGGCAAGACCCTTCCCACATTGTCTAGTATGAATGTGGTGCGGTGATCGAAGGGGCAGATGGCGCAGATTGGCAGCCTCAGTTCTGTCAGTCTGTCCCAGGACAGATGCAGCTACAATATATGTAAAACTAATGCATTATTATTATTATCAATGAAGCTGTAGAGGCTTTTCAAGTTAATGCTGGAGTTTCACAGGATACCTTCATTTGAGCCATTTTAGAGGAGCATTTCTTTTTATACTTCGACCATGTTCATTCCAAAGTGTTCCTGAAAATTCCAAGTGGCCACACGCCTACGGCAAAACAAGCTGTTACTTTAAAAGTATGGTCAAATCCGAACAACTGACCCCGCTGGCATCAGGCTACAACGCTGCTCATTTAAAATAAATTCAAATTGCTTTTTTTTTTAACACTTTGCCAAAAGCCACACATAATCCTAAAATAATGATAACACGCTGCAGCTGCCTGCCACCGCTCATGAATTAAACACGATACAACTAAGTCTAATTATGGTTTGCCGCCAGATGTTTCATAATTAATACACACAATATATTCTCTCTCCGCCGTTTTCACAAGAAAGCTCTCGTATTCCAGCAATAAAACAAACAAGGCTCTGAGCTCTGTGAGTAGAGGTGACGGTGAATATTTTTTTTTTTATTTTCATTTTTTCTTACCACTTAAGCAAATCACAATAAAATATGAAACCACATGAATACTTCACATCGAACACTACGGCGTTCAGAATGCAACGCTCCGTCTTTATTTCTCTGCCAACAAAATCTACCCATCTCGTCGCGCCCCCACGCCGCCACGCCGTTGGTCGGGTCCTCTCGTCGCTCCAGGCGTGGACCAATCGGAGGGCAGAAAGGGCGGAGAGGGCGGAGAGGACGGGCCGTACAAACAAACTCGTGATTGGTCTAAAAATACTTCTGTAGCTCTGCTCTGCTGCACTAAAAGAACATGCAGTTAACTGATGACAGCGCTCCCCCCGTCGATCGGCACGTGATCGAGGTGAGCGCAGAACACATTCACATTAATATTACATCATATGAACAGAAACAAGTGACAAAAAACGTGAAAAGTGAAACTGTTAGTACAAAATGGGTCAAATGATTAGACTTGGAATTAACTGACAAGACTTTTCTCTTACAAAAGATCAGTTATAACCACTGTTGGGCAAGTGACTTTAAATCTGTAATGTGTTATTTATGACTTGTTACTGTCATTTCAGAGTAATTTGTTACATTACAATATTACTGTGTTTAAAATGTAAAACATTACATGACTATTGCATGTTGAGAATTTAAGTTACTCTCAACAAAATAACTGTGAAGATGCTGAACTTTTGCGCCGTATATGAACTAAACCAGGTCTAAATCAGGACTGAACCAGGTCTAAACCAGGTCTAAACCAGGACTGAACCAGGTCTAAACCAGGTCTAAACCAGAACTGAACCAGGTCTAAACCAGGTCTAAAGCAGGTCTAAACCAGGAATGAACCAGGTCTAAACCAGGACTAAACCAGGTCTAAACCAGGTCTAAATCAGGACTGAACCAGGTCTAAACCAGAACTGAACCAGGTCTAAACCAGGTCTAAAGCAGGTCTAAACTAGGAATGAACCAGGTCTAAATCAGGACTGAACCAGGTCTAAACCAGGTCTAAACCAGGACTGAGCCAGGACTAAACCAGGTCCAAACCAGGACTGAACCAGGACTAAACCAGGACTGAACCAGGACTGAACCAGGATTAAACCAGGATTAAACCAGGACTAAACCAGGTCTAAACCAGGTCTAAACCAGGACTGAACCAGGTCTAAACCAGGACTGAACCAGGTCTAAACCAGGACTGAACCAGGACTAAACCAGGTCTAAACCAGGTCTAAAGCAGGTCTAAACTAGGAATGAACCAGGTCTAAATCAGGACTGAACCAGGTCTAAACCAGGTCTAAACCAGGACTGAGCCAGGACTAAACCAGGTCCAAACCAGGACTGAACCAGGACTAAACCAGGACTGAACCAGGACTGAACCAGGATTAAACCAGGATTAAACCAGGACTAAACCAGGTCTAAACCAGGTCTAAACCAGGACTGAACCAGGTCTAAACCAGGACTGAACCAGGTCTAAACCAGGACTGAACCAGGTCTAAACCAGGTCTAAATCAGGACTAAACCAGGACTAAACCAGGTCTAAATCAGGACTAAACCAGGACTAAATCAGAACCAAACCAGGACTAATCTTGGACTAGAATTTGGAATCTAGGACCTCCCCTGAGAGAACCCTGAGCCCGTGGAACATGGTGTCTGTAAGGTGCGATCGGGCGTCAGCTGTGATTAAGCTCGTGGAGTGTGGAGTTCTGCGTTGGTCCTTTTTCCCGCGGTCACCTAACGGTCTATGTGGGTGCGTCTCTGGTGTTTCACCGCTGCTGATATCGTGGTGATTTTAGCGAATTTGTATGAAGAAAAACGAAAAACCCACCACTTCAATCCAGGTTAAAAAAGCATTGTCGACAAAAAGCATTACTGACATTTGTACCAAGTAAAAAAAATTTTTTTTTTTCCCTGTAATGCCGAACATGACTGCGTTACAGCAAAAAGCAACACATTACAGTAATTAGTTACTTTTATAACACGTTAATCCCAACACTGGTTATAACATTGATTTGGTGGAGGTGTGCACTTTGTTGATTCTCTTTGAACGATAAAAGTGACAAAAACTAAATGTCAGTTCAGTCTAGTAACTTTTCAGGTGGATATTGGAGCGGCCTGCCTGTCTCCGTGGAAATGATATTGCTTTGCCCAGAATCTTCCGCAGTCTGGCATGAAACGTTTCTACCTCCGCGGTGACATCTCCGAGCCAACTTACAAGTCAGGTCTTTGGAGAGGTGAGTCCAATCACAGTGAAAAATGTCCATGTTATACAGTGGTTACCTGGCATGTCCAGAATGACCTCTATTAGTTTCGATTTCCAAATTTCTCTCTCCTCATGTACAGTTTAGTGCTCTGTGACTAGATTTTCAAATTGAAAAACTGGGACACCCACGGTTTGAGGTGGTTTGTAATAATAAAACTGTGAAACAAGTGCGTAATTAATGAAAATGGTCACGCAGAGACCATTCATGACTAACACGTGAGTCAGTATAATCACATTTTCTTTGTGTTTTGGTCATTTTTAAGTATCCTTTTCTGTATTTTACTTAAATAAGTGACAAAAGGGATCAAATTTGTCAAAAATAATGACTCATGGAACATTTCTTGTATAAAACTGGGACAAATCACTGTTTTTGTAAATAATAAATAAATCTGCTGGGACAGGGGACACAGGACTCAAAACTGGGACTGTCCTGGGTAAATAGACATTCTGCAAAAATTCACAATATATTTTATATTTTTTCCTCTCCATATTTGTTTTGATATGGATGCACCATGTCTGTGTCTGATTGGCTAATCCATCTGTCAGTCATGCTGATCTGAAAACAGGGAGATTCATCAGTGACCAAACTCACATCGCACATGTGTATTCACTTCTTAAGTTCTTTTTAAAGACAGGACAGTAGGACGTGTATTTACCTTGTTGATATGTTTCGGCTGCTGCTGCATCTTCAGAACTGTTGTTACTTCCTGTAGGCGTGGCCAGCTGTTGTTACTTCCTGTAGGCGTGGTCAGCCTGATGGACCTGGCAGGTGGCTCAGACTGACCACGCCTCCCGTCGCCCGGTGTCTCTGAAGGAGGGTGTCCCAGGTGTGTGAAAGGAGGAACGCTCCTCATCACTGTTAATGCTGTCAGTGTCCTCCCTGACCACACCTACAGCGCGTAACAACATCTGATATACAACACGTCGCCACCAACACCGGGACAGTTCTGAAGATGCTTATGTTTTTAGATTCTTTTTTCTGCTGCTGTGAGACATCTTCAGAATTAGTCCAGTGAGGTTCATTTGGCCTTCCGATTTATGTTATTAGGTTCTTTTTTCACAGAGTGGTCACGTGATGTTGCTGTGACACATCCAGTCAGCTGGTTTAAACAGGTTGTGGTGCTGTCTTCCTACTGGAGGAGGCAGGACGACAGCGCCATCTGCAGTCCCACTTCCTCAGCGCCAAAACCTGTTTAAATCAGCTGAGCGACATGTCACAGCAACATCATGTGACCACTCTGAAGAAGAGCGCAGGGAGCAGTCCAAACTGTCAGGTATGAAAACAAACTCTTGATCTGAAAAAAGAACCTAATAACATAAAATATCTGAAAACCAAATGAAAGTTATTGGACTAGTTCTGAAGACGTCTCACAGCAGCAGCAGCCGAAACATGTCAACAAGATAACTACACCTCCCACTGTACTGTGTTTAAAAAGAACCCAAGAAGTGAATGTACAGAAGAAGACAAAATGAACGTTTTTGGATCACACATGTGGATCCTGGATCCAGGTAAATACTGTAGAACATTCGAGGCAATAACATCTCCATGGAGACATTAGTCTAGCAGAAAAGTTATGTAGTGTGCACTTAAGTAAATCAAACTCGTCCTTGTGTGTCGTGTGTAATTATACATGCAGTACAATAACACTTGAGTACTTGAGTACTTGAGTACTTGAGTAGTGGTGGTGTGTGTGTGTGGTGCAGTATAAGATGGTTCTGTGGAGTTTAGGGCAGAGAGACTCCAGGATGGTGATGCTTCTTGCTTTTATTGCGCACTAGTGGGGCTGTGGATACCTCTGGGTATGGCACTTGACTCTTGCATATGTATGTGCTGTTGCATATGCATGTAGTTTAGGCGCTTAATATTGGAGTACATTCTACAGTGAAATGTTCTTTTGTCTTTTGTTTAGTATCCTAGCCTCGCTCAAGCTAAGACGTTGTACAGACATTACAGACAGAATGCTAACAGCTGTGAGCGTCAGTGTCTGTGGTCGTGACAGGACAATCTCCACGCGTGACACAACTAACGAAGCGGAGCCGGCGGTCGGACCCGGACCCCGCCCAGAAGCATGAAAACGTCGGCGCTGTCCGTGAGTCTAAAAGGCAGGGGCCATGGGTCTCTGCTGGGTCAGTCTCTTGGGGTCCAGGGTCTCGGTGAAGGGCGGGGCCTGGTACGGGTTGGTGGTCACTATGGTGGCACCGTTGGCGATGGGGTACGGCGTGGCGCGGACGTTGCCGGGGGTGGGCTCCAGGTGCTGCCATGTGAACAGGTTGGCCTGGCTGCCCGCGAGGTACCGGCGCAGGGCACTCAGGGTCAGCACGGCCTGTTAGTCACACACACGACACACGCCGGGTTAGTGAGGGCAGAAGACACGTTAGTGAAGGATACTGATACTTTGCAGCTGATGTCGTCAATAATACTAACTGGAGGCACTGCTCTGTCTGAGGATTTGTTAAACTTTCATCTGAGCTTTAAGATAATCTCACCAGAACGTTTTTCACTCAGTCACTATTGCCATTTTTGTTGAAAATCAAACACTTAAACAGAACCATTAACACTCGTTTAAAGAAACACATGTACAACAACCCCCAGCACGATGTTACTGCAAAGTATCAATCTAGATTAGGAAAAAAAGTTGTTTGTAAGTGACTCGGCTAAGTAAAGTTGATTAACAGTTTAGGAATCAAAGTGTTGAGGAGGAAACAAGAAAATAGAAGAGATGCGTGGCCATGAAATAGTGAATTGAAAAGCCAGTAACAGGAGCGTGTTAGTCTGCGGCTGCATCTCAATTCTTGCCTCCTTGACTCCAGAGAGAAGGAAAGGGAAACCTGTTAAGATTTAACACTCCTAAATTACACAGAATTGAGCTTTAAGTCATGTTAGAATGTTGTTACCTGCAAAAACACACCTGGAGTTGTGTTTTGTTTCATTCACGCATGTTTGAGTAACTCTTTATTATTATCTGTTTACATCTCCAAAGCTCAAAATGCTCAGTTCCACCTTGTGATGTCATGAAGCGATGGTTTTCAAGTTAAAAACTAGGGATGTAACAATAATCAAAAAATCGTGATATCGTATTGTTAAAGTTCTCACAATAATATCGTTGACCGTCGCAATATATCGAATTACAACAAGTGTCTTTGCTTAAATGAAGAGTTATAGTGCAGGAATAGTTTTTAAAACAAAGACAGAGAACTACATAGACCATGATCCTTTGCTCCATTTCAGTGCAGACTATAAGAAGAAAAAACAGTTCTAAGACTTTTAAGTCCAGTGTTGGGAAGGTGACTTTTAAAATGTATTCCCCTACAGATTACAGATTACATATCCCAAAATGTAGTTTGTAATGTAATCCATTAAATTACTTAAAGTGACTAATGTAATCTGAATACTTTGGATTACTTGATATTGTCATACTTTTTAAAACTACATGAATGTAGCAACCACATCCAGAAAATTCTTGTTTGTTCTCTTCTAATTGTCTGTTGAGCCGAAGTCTCCATGAACAGACTTTTGTTTTACTGTAGAGAAGCAAAACTAGAATATTTTAACATAAGACGTTTTATCTCCTAAAAGACAATAAAAAGCCGAGTCTTTCCTTAAACATATTAAAAATATTATTGATAAAGAAATGATTTTTATATGAGGTAACTGCTGCTTTAAATTATGTCCACCTACTGTTAGTGTCATATTGTTTATTAAAAAATATATGTATAAAAAATCACCTTCAGTACAAAAATAAAGGCGCCAGCCCAGTAAAAATCAATAATATTTGATGTTTCTTATTCGATGACACAGAATCAGATTATTAACAATGATTATTAACGACCTTGTCCATTGTGTGAGTGACGCCGCCAACGTTAACAAGACGTTTACGTCGCTCTTATTGCACATGTTCTGTGTGGGTTTCCGGCAATGAGTGGAATTACCCAAATAAAAAAATATAAATACATAAAAATGGGATATAACCCCAAAATGTGAAAACAGGAAAATACCTCCATGTAATCCATTTATTTCAACAAAGTAACTGTAATCCAATTACCACTCACTGAAACAGTAACTGTAACTGAATACAGTTACTCATAATTTGTACTCTGATTACATAACGCCGGGACATGTAATCTGTTACTCCCCAACACTGTTTAAGTCTTAGTTCTTTGGATTAAGTCTTGTCAAGGCGTTTTAAGAGGAAAAAGTCACATATTAACAGTTTTCCCTTCACAAACTCTCAATAAATATCATACAGTGAGATGTACATCCCTAATCGTGAGTCTAATATTGTTACATCCCTAATCGTGAGTCTCTCCATCATATCGTGAGCTTTCCCCCGATATCGCAATAAATATCAATATATCAATATAAATATCGTATTGTGAGACTTGGATATCGATACATCCCTATTAACCACTAAACTAGATGATTATACTGAAGGTGGGATTAAAACCACAGTGTGCAGGGTTTGTGTGTTAAACATGTGTGAATGAAACAAAACACAACTCCAGGTCTGTTTGTGATGAGGAAACGACATTAGAACAGATCAGAAAATAATTGAATATGGACCAGGTCTGTGTACCATTTGTTCTTTTGAATTTCAATTAAGAATGAAAACAATAAAATGGGAAAACAGTTTGTTATTTCATTATTCTGTTTTACTGTCAAACAACGACCTCTGTTTCCATTATCTTTTTTGAACTTTACTTTTTAAGATCAGCAGTGCAAATAAACATAAATGTTATATATTTTTATTCAGGTTTATAGTCACAAGAGTCCATTGTTTTAAGAATAAGTGCATTTTCAGATGAAGTTTGGCTGTCAGTTGTTCAATCATGTCGACTTTTGTTTCAGTCTCTGTGTTCAGTCTGTCTTTGTCGGAGGGGAGAGTTTCCTCCAGTTAACAGTTTTCATTTTTCGTTGCTCTCCTTTGTTCATTTGACACTGAATGTAGACGCAATGCCAAGCGGCACAACTTCATATAAACCTGAGAGAATAAAATATCAGAATTAAAACAGGCATCGAGACTGTTTTTTGATAGGTGTTATTTGAAGTAAACTTTAAATGAAATATTGGAAATAGAGGTCGACTTTAACTTTACTTTTTTAAGATCAGCAGTGCAAATAAATATAAATGTTGTATATTTTTATTCAGGTTTATAGTCACCTGAGTCCATCGTTCTAAGAATAAGTGCATTTTCAGATGAAGTTTGGTTGTTCCATTATGTTGACTTTTGTTTCAGTCTCTGTGTCCAGTCTGTCCTTGTTGGAGGAGACAGTTTCCTCCAGTTCACAGTTTTCATTTTTAGTGTAATCATCAAAAGAATACAAAGAGCATACTGTTAATCTTTTACTCATACATTCTCTGACAAAGCTCCTGACATACATCAGATGATCCGTAGGGAGTTCACAAGACAGTATCTTCTATTTCTATTTTAATGTCCTGCCAATAATTACAAAGAACTGGACAATCCCAGAAGACATGTAAGTGATCCTCCACTGTGCCACAATTTCTCCAACATAATGAGGGCATGTTTTTGTAAAGACTTGAGATGATTAAAGGGGCTCTATTTCCAGTTTTTAGTATAAAGTTTATTTCAAATCACACCAGTTTTGATATTTTATTCTCTCTGAAGGGCTGTCGCGATAACCACTGAAATGAATCACTGTGGTACTAAGAGGTCCACCGCAGTGCATGTTGGTTCACTGCGATCACTGCACGTGACCAACGTGACCCCACCCAGAGTCCTGCACGGGTCCATTTTTAGAGACCTGCACCCGCCCGGACCCGTTAACATTCCACCTGTTACTGCCCGTGCCCATGATAAACCCAGGACTAACCCAGGACTAACCCAGGACTGACCCAGGACTAACCAGGACTAACCAGGACTAACCCAGGACTAACCCAGGACTAACTCAGGACTAACCCAGGACTAACCAGGACTAACCCAGGACTAACAGGACTAACCAGGACTAACACAGGACTAACACAGGACTAACACAGGACTAACTCAGGACTAACCCAGGACTAACTCAGGACTAACCCAGGACTGACCCAGGACTGACCCAGGACTAACTCAGGACTAACCCAGGACTAACCCAGGACTAACCCAGGACTAACCAGGACTAACTCAGGACTAACCAGGACTAACCAGGACTAACCAGGACTAGGACTAACCAGGACTAACCAGGACTAACCCAGGACTGACCCAGGACTAACCCAGGACTAACCCAGGACTAACCCAGGACTGACCCAGGACTAACACAGGACTAACTCAGGACTAACCCAGGACTAACACAGGACTAACCCAGGACTAACCCAGGACTAACACAGGACTAACTCAGGACTAACCCAGGACTAACACAGGACTAACACAGGACTAACTCAGGACTAACCCAGGACTAACCCAGGACTAACACAGGACTAACACAGGACTAACTCAGGACTAACCCAGGACTAACACAGGACTAACACAGGACTAACTCAGGACTAACCCAGGACTAACCCAGGACTAACACAGGACTAACACAGGACTAACTCAGGACTAACCCAGGACTGACCCAGGACTAACCAGGACTAACTCAGGACTGACCCAGGACTAACCCAGGACTAACCCAGGACTAACCCAGGACTAACCCAGGACTAACCAGGACTAACACAGGACTAACCCAGGACTAACACAGGACTAACTCAGGACTAACACAGGACTAACACAGGACTAACACAGGACTAACTCAGGACTAACCCAGGACTAACCCAGGACTAACCCAGGACTAATGTGCTCCTGTGTAGAGCATGGGGTGACTGCAGGCAAAAGGACCGGCGCAGTGGTCCACACCGCACGGAGGTAAGTGCAGCCGTCGCCCAGTTGCACTTTGTGGACACCTGCTCCACGTGCTCGGGGTTCTCTCTCACTTAAGTCCGCAAGTACCCGAGCTGGTGCAGGACTCTGACCCGAGCTGTCACAGTGAGAGTTTGAGAGATGCAGCGGCATTTGTTCAAATGTTACTTCTCCCATATATTCTCCCAAATATTGTAACTCCAGGGGATGGGGGGTGGGGTAGGGGGGCTATACCACACGGCAAGAGAAATTCCCTAACCGCGACAGCCCTACTCTCTGGTTTATTTGCCCTGGAAGTTCTGCTACTAGAAGAACTTACCTGAAAAATCATTGCAATTTTGTGGACAAACATGTCGTCTTCTTTTATAGCGACACCTTTACTTTCATGTCTTAGAGAGTTATTGTTGAACAAGAAACAGGAAGCAGTGATAAACTCTCCTTTGTTCATGTGACACTGAATTCACACACTGCGCTGAGCAGCACAACTTCAGATAAACCAAAGAGAATAAAATATCAGAATTGAAATATACACCGAGACTTTTTTTAGATTGGTGTTATTTGAAGTAAACTTGAAATTAAATATTGGAAATAGAGGTCGAAATCTGTTTTTTGTTGTTGACACGAAAGCAGAATAATGAAAACTGTTTTCCCATTTTATTATTTTTCGTCCTTAATTGAAATTCAAAAGCACGAATGTTACACAGACCAGCTGTCCTTTAATGCATGCGACGTCTCTTTTACTTTTTGTTGTTTTGGCAGTAACAATCTGCTTCAGGACTACTAATAAATGAATTTGAATATAAGCTTTTTACTGACCCAGCCAGTAAAGCTCAAATTAACAAAAGATTTTAGAGGTAAACACTTGGAGCTGTCACTGTGTGGACTCTGTTAGCTCAGACTATATTAAGCGAGGGGTGTGTCCTTAATGGCAGCAGTGTGTATGCGTCCTCAGTGAAGGGGACGGTCTTTAGGGTGTCCAGGGTGAGGAGACACTGGTAACCCTGGGGACAAGCACACGGGGTCACATGGAGTTAAAAAACAGCGTCTGAAAAAGGAACTCGACGTAATTTTGATCAAAATCGTACTAATGATGATATTGACAAGAGCTGCAAATCAAAAGAATCAAGGCTTGACAACTATAAAAAGGTAATTGTGGTCATATTTTAATGAACTGAACTTGAACTGGGTGAAAAAGACTCTAAAACACATGCCAAAATATTACAACAAAGGCAACATTATTAAAGGTCCTAGGTGTCCCTGGATATGAGCTAAACATGTTCAAATCTTTTACTAATCAGTATTCTAACACTCATTTACTCTTAACTTATTTATGTTTTAATTTGGTGTTTTAGTTCTCAATTATCCAGTCAGCAAACAGAATCTTTTGTGTTGCCAGTTTTAATTCTGAAATCCAGTTGGTTCAAACCTAAAATGACTTTCTCTGGTCTGAAAATTCTCTTCCTTAACCCCCAGAAACTACAGACAATCCTGAGTCAGTGCTAGTGCAGCGTGTGCAGCTCAGGGAGGGAACTCTGGAGGTTGTGAGTTTCACATGAGTCTGTCCATAAACGGGGGAAAACTTGGATCTGTCTCTGCCTGCGGGTGAAGGTTCTGGCAACACTGGTTCAGCTGTGATTGTGATAGTCTCTTTTCACGCTCAAGTTACAAACAGGAAGACGTCTGGAAACATGTGATGACAACTCATGGACCGACTGTGATAAAACCCACTGAAGTAAATGTGATCAGCTGTAAAATGAAGAGTGTGTGTGTAAGTGCTAGGAGTGTAATGATACAAAAATCACAGTTCTGTATGTACCATGAGGTCATGGTTCGGTTCATTTTTAGTTCAGTTTGGGAACAAAATGCAAAACCATTTGCTTGTTGTTTATTTGTGTGTTTATTAAACCAACAGTTTGTTTTAACATTATACAAATGGGAAAATAAAATAAATGCAAAGTGCTGCCTGGTAATACTAATAAGTTAAATAAAATATTCTCAAATAAGCTAAAAATTCTTTGTAAACACTAAACAAAACTTTTGTGCAGCACTAACAGTTCCAATATGAACTTTTACTCAGCCTTCATATTTCTGACCAGAAAAACCAACTTGTCCACATTGTCTGCAGTAAGTGCACATCTGCTGCAGACACAATGTCCTCAGCGGTTGAAAATAAACTTCCACTAGGGACAGAGGTCGAGGGTCTGGGACGGGGGGATTCAGTGCCAGTGAAAGGTGAGAGTGAGGACCGCGGAGCGGTGAGCGTAGTTTTGTGAGGATTCTGGTGGTTCGGAGAGACGTACTCAAGGCGGGGCAATTGTTGTCAAGATGGCGCCCTAACTATAAAGAGCTGCAGGAAACACTGCGCCAATCACGGACGAGTTCTTTGTGAATATTAAAGAGCTGAAATTGTGCGAACTCACTCGTGCACAGCCCCGCACCGAACCAAACGTTCCTTAACAAAATGGTTCAGCATGAATACATGTATCGTTACACACCTAGTCTGTGCAGTTTGGAGTCATCTTCAATCATCAGTTTGGCGCCTCATCTCTTCTAATCACATGTACCAGTGCACTTGGAGTTGTGCGTCAGTGGGGAAATGATGAAAACTGATGGTTGTAACTGTTGATGAGCCGAACATAACAGAACACTACAATGACATGGAGATGAAGAAAACTGGGACATTTTCTCATTTTTCCTAAATTTTGTCAGACTTACTACAGCAAACAGAACCCACCGGAATTTGTCATTGCATGTTTCCAAACGTCTTCCCGGTTGTGACGTAAGTGTGAATAGAACCTATAGTATTTTTAAAACAGTAAGAGGACAAGCTACTAACAATTCCTTTAACAGCTGAAATAATCCCCAACGCAAAGAAAACAATTAGTAGAGGTCCATATGTAATGTTATGTGCTCTGTGCTACTTTTACTTGATTCAGACTGTAACTAGAAGTGTCTAAACTTTTTCCCGTGTCTTTGATGTAGTCTTTTTGCTGAGAAAAACTGAAATGTCCAGTAGCGTGTTCGGCTGCTGTACAACGGGAACAGAAGTTGTATTGTTTCTTACCCAGGAGAGGGTGGAGAAGAAGCAGAAGGCGATGATGGCTCGGGCTGCGTCTGATCCCTGGGCCAGCGGGAGCTCGTCGGGGGACGTCATCTGCCACTGATTGGCCAGAAAGCAGAAGCCCACGAACCACAGGAAACACGCCACACCTGGAGGAGGGAGCGCAACAGTCACACGTCTGAAGAACACCGAAGATTTGTGAAGCAGGAACTTTCAAATCAACCCAAAAGAATAGTTAATGGTGAGTTCAGTCATTCCAAAATATATTAGATTATGCTCAGTTGTCAGAATTCTTGTGCTTAGGGTGACCAGACGTCCCGATTTACCCGGGACAGTCCTAGATCTGAGTCCTGTGTCCCCTGTTCCAGCAGATTTATACAAAACCAGTGATTTGTCCCAGTTTTATACAAGAAATGTCACAGGTGTCCCGGTTTTGACCATTTGACCAAGTCCAGTGTTAGTCCTGGTTTAGACCTGGTTTAGACCTGGTTTAGTCCTGTTTTCAGTCCTGGTTTAGTCCTGTTTTAGTCCTGTTTCAGTCCTGGTTTAGTCCTGTTTTAGTCCTGTTTCAGTCCTGGTTTAGTCCTGGTTTAGTCCTGTTTTGTTTTAGTCCTGGTTTAGTCCTGTTTAGTCTTGTTTCAGTCCTGTCTCAGTCCTGTTTCAGTCCTGGTTTAGTCCCGGTTTAGTCCTGTTTTAGTCCTGTTTTAGTCCTGTCTCAGTCCTGTTTCAGTCCTGTTTTAGTCCTGTTTAGTCTTGTTTTAGTCCTGTTTCAGTCCTGTTTCCAGTCCTGTTTTAGTCCTGTTTTAGTCCTGGTTTAGTCCTTGTTTAGTCCTGTTTTTGTTTCAGTCCTGTTTTCAGTCCTGTTTCCTGGTTTAGTCCTGGTTTAGTTTAGTCCTTGTTTTAGTCCTGTTTCAGTCCTGTTTAGTCCTAGTCCTGTTTTAGTCCTGGTTTAGTCCTGTTTTAGTCCTAGTCTCTGTTTAGTCCTGTTTCAGTCCTGTTTTTAGTCCTGTTTTAGTCCTGTTTAGTCCTGTTTTAGTCCTGTCTCAGTCCTGTTTCAGTCCTGTTTTAGTCCTGGTTTAGTCTTGTTTTAGTCCTGTTTCAGTCCTGTTTCAGTCCTGGTTTAGTCCTGGTTTAGTCCTGTTTCAGTCCTGTTTCAGTCCTGTTTTAGTCCTGACTTAGTCCTTGGTTCATCGGTGTCAGAATGGGGGCTCGTCAGTGTGGAGGGTTGTTGGACTGACAGTGTGTCGGGTTGGGGGTATGTCAGAATAAGAGTTGTTCCCCGACCCGGTTGTCCCTAATTTGACCATTTTGACACCCACTAACAGTAAAGAAGGGAATATATTGTCACTTGTTTAGGTAAAATACAGAAAACTGAGCTTGAAAATGACCATAAGAAAAAAAAAGCACCATCAGAAGTCCCTCAGATTATGATACCTGCAAAGTAAGTTAAGAATGGACAATGTTTAGGGGGACCACATGTCCCTATTTACCCGGGACAGTCCCATTTTTGAGTCCTGTGTCCTCTGTCCCAGCAGATTTATGCAAAACCACTGATTTGTCTCAGTTGTATAAAAGAAAACCAACTTGTCCACATTGTCTGCAGTAAGATGGAGATTGGAGATTTCGTGCTGGCGAAAGGCGAGAGTGAGGACCGCGGCACGACGACCGTAGTTTTGCAGGACTCACATGGTTTGGAGGGACGTAGTCAAGGCGGGGGCAGTTGTTGTCAAGGCGGCACCCTAACTATAAAGCGCTGCAGGAAACACTGACACCACAATCACGGACAAGTTCCCTCGTGAATATTAAACAGCCGAGCCTCCGTGTAGCTGCGCATGTAGTGGTGGAATGTAAACACACACAAAGGCTACGTTCAGACTGCAGGGCTTAATGCTCAATTCCGATTTTTTTGTGAAATCCGATGTTTTTGCGAGGTCGTTCACATTTCCAATTAAATGTGACTTGTGACCAGTGTGAACATTAAAGGTTGTATGGAGGATTTTTATTTTTTTTTTTAGTTTCAAATTGTCAAAGTTTAAATACCATTACATAGATGCAGCAGCTTTGTAATTATGACCAAAAAAAAAAAAAGAATGAAAATCTATCAATTGTGGACGTGTTGAGGCCAGATAAACATCAGCCAATAGAAAACGAGACTGCCTCATTTTCTATTGGCTGTTTGGTTGTCAATCAAACTCCCTATGTTTCTAGTGTAACTGATTCGTCATCGCGCGGGGATTACATGGTTTATGCAGCGGTTCTTTGAGGCTTTTTAAAACTGTCGCTTCCTCGCAATTCGCGCAAAGTTTGTTGCGACGGCGGATGAGAATCCACGACCAGTTCGCCGCAAAAGAAAGTCAGTTTTTGAGGTCGCTGAAAGACGAAGAGAAGGAGAAAAAGAGCAAAGACAAACTGAGGTGATTCTTAGAGATTTCTTCCAGCGATGGTGCGAACGAAGCAGACGAAGGGTCTAAAAACTGACGTGTCGGTCGCTGAATTATTTCTAGACAGGAAACTTCAACAGTGATTCTGAACAGACACTGGATGTAAACAAGCGTGATTTCTAGAGTAAAGAGGCGGGAGGAGGAGATGTTTCTACTGAGGGAGCTGTGGAGGAGGAAGGTGGTGTCACACATGCACAACATTTGAAAAAGAACTGTCAATGTATTTCACTTCCCTTAAACAATCCTCTATACAACCTTTAAACGACCCAAAAGTGTCCCGCATGTGCACTGGAGACACGATGACGTCAACCGCAGCGAGCGTGTTCTGTGTTTACAGAAGTTGTCCAAACATGGACGCGAGCATCGAGCACCTGGAGATTTTAAAGTTCCTCTCGTACCGGAGTCAGAACATGAACAACTTACTTGTTTTAAGGAGGAGATTGAGAAGGAGAAGGACGAGGTTTTTGGCCGTGGTGTTTTGTGGGGCAGCGGCAGCGACGTCCGTTGAAAGGAACGTGTGGATGTGGAGACGTAGCCAAGAGTGGTGAGTGGTGATGTGCTTCACTTCAGTGACACAGAGTTCATTAACAATTTTCGCCGACTTCAGCGCAGAATAGTGACGTTTGTGTCTTGTTGATAACGTGTAGGTGGATGAATGCGCTTTGGCTGTTCAGACTGAAGTCACATGTCAAAAGATCAGATATGTATCGGTTTTAGGAGCACATATCCAAGTGGCCTGGGTCACATTTGAAAAAATCGGATCTGTGTCGTTCAGACTGTCATTAAAAGATCAGATACAGGAACATAGAGGCCAAAAAATCGTATTTGGGTCACTTCAGGCTGCAGTCTGAACGCAGCCAAATTGTGCGAACTCACTAAACGTCCTGTACCAAAACGTGTACAAACGTGTTACAGCCCTAGTCTGTGCTGTTTGGAGTCATCTTCAGTCATCAATTTGGCGCCTCATCTCTTCTAATCACATGTACCCAATGCACTCGGAGTTGTGCGTCAGTGGGGAAATGATGAAAACTGAAGTGTGTTTGGAATTGTTGATGAGTCGAACATAACAGAACACTACAATGACACGGAGATGAAGAAAATTGGGACATTTTCTCATTTTTCCTACATTTTTTTAGACTTACTACTGTGAACAGAACCCGCCGGAATTTGTCATCGCATGTTTCCAAACGTCTTCCCGGTTGTGACGTAAGTGTGAATAGAACCTATACTATTTTTAAAACAGTAAGATTTACAATTCCTTTAACAGCTGAAATAAGAAATGTCCCAGGTGTCCATATTTTTGACCAAGCTGATCCCTGCCAACAGTAAAGAGAAACATAAATTGTCAATCATTTTAACAGAAAAGCTGCTTTAAAATGACCAAAACTTAAAGAAAATGTGACTGTTTAACTTAATTACACGCTTGTTTCACTATTTTATTACTACCAACCACCAAAAAAACTAACAAAAAACAAACAAAAAAACGGGATGTCCCAGTGTTTTATTTTGAAATCCTCAGTCAGTCTACTTATGCAGTCTCCCGCTCCCGTCTGTGTCTCCGTGTGCCTGGAGCTGGGAGGAGAGTCTGGCGCCACCCTCTTTAGACTTTAGACTTTTATTGTCCCTAAGGAGAACTTCATTTTCACGCACACAGAGCTCGATTGGCACATTCAGCAACAACACAACACACGCAGACACATTACAGGAGACATTACAGTGCACTCAGCCGGGCCTGGGGTTCAGAAATGTGATGACCGAGGGCATCAGGCTTCTGCCAAGCGGACCCTCCTGCACCTGAGCTGGTGAGGGTGACATGTTCTTGTAGTGGGTAAAAACAAAAAACAAAAACTGGGATGTTCCTGGTTTTTGGTGGTTGGTAATAATAAAATTGTGAAACAAGAGTCAGTATAGTCACATTTTCGTTGTGTTCTGGTCATTTTCAAGCAGCTTTTTTGTATTTTACCTAAACAGATGACAATTTATGCTTCTCTTTACCGTTGGCAGGTATAAAATCGGACAAAAATCGGGACATTTCTTGTATAAAATATGGACAAATCAGTGGTTTTGTATAAATCTGCTGGGACAGAGGACACAGGACTCTAAACTGGGACTGTCCCGGGTAAATAGGGACGTCCGGGCACTCTAGTCTATAACATTTTTTGCCTTAGTTTGTTTTTTCGTATTTTATTCAGACCCTGTTTTGGACATTACCGGAATACCACCCCTGCACCCTGCACCCTGCACCCTGCACCCAGCAGCACCCAGCACCCTGCACCCTGCACCCTGCACCCAGCACCCAGCACCCTGCACCCTGCACCCTGCACCCTGCCTTTTTGCCCATATAAATCCTGTTGATTTTTCAGTTTCAGTTGTCTGTATCATTTGATCCAACAGTCTATGAAAAGTACAGATGTGATTGGATGGGACTAGCCTATAATACTGAATACTTCACAGTAGGGATGGGCATTCATAAAGATGTTATAAGATGATAGATAGATATAAGATAGATATGATAGATAGATAGATAGATAGATAGATAGATAGATAGATAGATAGATAGATAGATAGATAGATAGATAGATAGATAGATAGATAGATGATAGATAGATAGATAGATAGATAGAGATAGATAGATAGATAGATAGATAGATAGATAGATGATAGATAGATAGATAGATAGATAGATAGATAGATAGATAGATAGATAGATAGATAGATAGATAGATAGATAGATAGATAGATAGATAGATAGATAGATAGATAGATAGATAGATAGATATAGATATAGATAGATAGATGATATAGATAGATAGATAGATATAGATATAGATAGATAGATAGATAGATAGATAGATAGATAGATAGATAGATAGATAGATAGATAGATAGATAGATAGATAGATAGATAGATAGATAGATAGATAGATAGATAGATAGATAGATAGATAGATAGATAGATAGATAGATAGATAGATAGATAGATAGATAGATAGATAGATAGATAGATAGATAGATAGATAGATAGATAGATAGATAGATAGATAGATGTACAGATAGATGTATAGATACAAATACTGTTTTTACCTGCCCCAACGTAATGAGTATGAAATGTTTTGATGCCTACAACCAGCACCGCACGGGCCGTGTACGGGATGGATTAAAGTCCGTGCGGCGTAGGGGACGGGGGACAGTCCGTGTGGTGTCCGTGAGGTGTATGCTTACATTCATCATTTGTATATTTGACTTTACACTCATATTTAGTTTGCAGCACTGCAGTTCATCATCCCACCCACCCGCTCCCACATTGTGTAGTCCCAATCCTGCCAAAAAAAATTCAAAATGTGTCCTGCGCCGCACTGTTTTGCGTCGGAAAACACACACAAAGAGTCGGCACGGTGGAGAGCTGCACATCACTGTAGTAAGTTGCGGATTTTATTTAATTTTTTTCATCCCGCATGTATCACCGATTAAGAAAAAGAAACTGGAGAACAAAGTAAGTAGAGAACAGCGCGCGTGCACAGGTGGTAGTGCAAAATGGGGTTCATCTGCAATATGGCGTTTTGAAAATTCAAGTTCAAGATGGTAAAAGAGAAGAGAAACAATTAAAACATACTTAAAAGCTCCGGAAAGTCGATTTCGCAGAATAGGACTTTAATTCTCTTTTGCAATAATGAGGCATATGCAGTAGAATATGCAGTAAAAATGATGTAACAGGCTCCAGTGTTGGATCATTTCCCTGCTGATCCTCATTCAGTTTGTAACGGGGGCAGTATGGACAAGCGCCAGAGCTTTTCATCACGCAGCTGACACTCGGAACAGCCCGTCTCACATCCAAGAGAACCACACCAGATACTCCCGACGCATCATTCCGATTTATTCCAGCATCTGACAATCACATACGCGTTCGTCGTTCACATTTTGTCATCTCTTTATCTTCTGTAAAACCTGTTCTGTACATTTTTGTCAACATTGCCCTGTGTGTGTTTTGGCGACCTCTGCTGGCAGCACTGGGGAGTACGCCAAGAGCATCATGGGTATTCGTAGCTTCATGGAGCTGACTGAATACTTGTTGTGAACGAGTTTGATGATGAGTAATCTTTAAACGCTCAAGACGCCACCGGTACACGCCCACGGTGACGTATGTACTTCTTTCTCCAGTTTTACTTTCTTAATCTCACATCGTCATTTTGGTACAAATGAGAAAAATGTGCAAGAGTGAAGTGCAGCTCTTCATAGGAGGCGTCAACAGCTGCATGGCTCTTTGCTGTGACACGACATTAACGGCGACATCAGGTCCCATTGGGCACTGCAGTTTCGTTTTAGATGAATATTGCGATTTAAAAAGTGCAATTTATAACCTCATGATCCACGGGTGTCATAGATTGAAACTATGTAACAGAAACGAGCACAGTTTTCTTCAGAAGCCCTAAGCGGCAAGCAAAAACAAGAAAGAGATGATACGCTGATGTAGGTCTATGCGCTGCAAAGTAATTCACAGCTAAAACGTGACGAGGCTACAATATATGTCCATTCACAGTGTTGGGAAGGTTACTTTTAAAATGTATTCCCCTACAGATTACAGATTACATAGCCCAAAATGTAGTTTGTAACGTAATTCATTAAATTACTTAAGGTGAGTAACGTAATCTGAATACTTTGGATTACTTGATTTGCTGTAGAGAAGCAAAGACGAGGAAATCTTCACATAAGATGTTTTATCTGATAAAAGAAATTAAAAAGCCCAGATTTTACTTAACCATATTAAAAATATTATTGATAGAAGAAGAGGAAACACGGTCCATGCAGCATGATTTAGTCCTGTTAAATCCTGTTTTAGTCCTGGTTTAGACCTGGTTTAGACCTGGTTTAGACCTGGTTTTAGACCTGGTTTAGACCTGGTTTAGACCTGGTTTAGTGTCCGGCAATGAGTGTAATTACTGAGAAAAACAAAAACAAACAAACAAACAAAAAAAAGGATTATAGCCCCAAATGTGAAAACAGGAACAATACCGCCATGTAAAAATCCATGTATTTCAACAAAGTAACTGTAATCCAATTACCACTCATTGAAACAGTAACTGTAACTGAATACAGTTACTCATAATTTGTACTCTGATTACGTAACTCCGGTACATGTAATCTGTTACTCCTCAACACTGTCCATGAATAAGCAACTGTTTGCTGTAGAGAAGCAAAGACTAAGACATCTCTTAACATGAGATGTTTTATCTGCTAAAAGACAATAAAAAGCTCAGTCTTTCTTTAACCAGATTAAAAATATTATTGATAGAGAAATTATTTTTATATGAGATCACTGCTGCTTTAAATGATCTCCACTCTACTGTTAAGTGTCATATTGTTTATTAAAAAAATAAATCACTTTCAGTACAAACATAAAGGCGCCAGCTCAGTAAAAATCTGTACTATTTGATGTTTTTTACTCAAAATGATGCAGAATCAGATTATTAACAACGACGATTATTAACGACCTCGTCCATTGTGTAACTGACGCCACCAACGTGAACAAGACGTTTACATCGCTGTTATTGTTCACATTCTGGGTGGGTTTCTGGCAATGAGTGGAATTATCAAAATAAAAAAAAAAAAAAAATAAAAAAAAAAAGGGATATAGCCCAAAATGTGAAAACAGAAAAATACTGCCATGTAATCCATTTATTATTTCCATATATTTATATATATTCCATATATTTATAAATCAGTTTATTTCAACTGTAATCCAATTACCTCTCACTGAAACAGTAACTGTAACTGAATACAGTTCACTACTGTACTACTCATAATTTGTATTCTGATTACGTAACGCCGGTACATGTAATCTGTCTCTTTAGTCCGACAGAAGCTGAACCGCATCAGCGACACAATAGTGAGCTGTTTTTTGACAGCTTAGTTTATGCGAATGAGCCATGTGGTTTTGAATTTTGTTTCTGTAAACCGTAAACAAATATGCTCAAAACTGTGTGGACAGAGAAGGATTGCAGACACAGAAAGGACGTGCCTGGATGTAGATCATTTCCAATATGGTGATACGGTGATTCGTTTCAGTCTAACAGTGAAACATTCGTTTCAGGTGAAGGGGAGCTTTTAAACTTATAATAATGTATAATAAAGACTTACTCAAACATCTACACATGAAACAAAACTCAACTCATGTTTGTGAAGAGGTAACAACATTCTAACATGGCTTAAAGCTCACAAGAGCCAGCTTTGCATAATATATATCGCAAAAAATAAATAAATAAATTATCCAAGTTAAGATGACTTGAATTAAGAAAGTTTTATCATGAAATGAGTAAATTTCACTTGACAGGTAAAATGATCTGCCAAAGGAACAAGACTTTTTGTACTTAAAATGTGAAAATACAGCTTGCTACACTTAAAATAAGAAAAACAACTCTTTGCCCTTAAAATAAGAAACAAAATCGAATGTTGCTTGAAATAAGAAAAACACACTTATTTCATTGGTAGGATCTACTCAAATAAAGCCAAATGTTCTTAATTTTAACTAACCTAGATATTAGATTTGCAGTGTATCTTTAACTTTTGCATATTTGTTGTGCATTTTATTGAACTATTTTCTTGAATTACCAGAGAAACCCAGGTCTAGCAGGACGGCGCGGCGCCGGTCCCTCACGTTGCTCATGGAGGGGAAGTAGACGTCCAGGATGAGGAAACAGATGCTGCCCAGGAAACAGGCCACGCCCACTGTCATGCCGTAGTTACAGGCGTCGGCGTTGTTGTTGAACACGCACAGCAGACGCTCGCTGCCGATGTTGATGTAGCCCTCGTTGACGATGCAGCTGAACACCACAATGGAGAAAACCTGAGAGAGGAGAGAACGAGAAGGGTCACAGTCAGAGGAGGAAAAGTAGAACAAATCTGTGCTCAATTAAGAGTCCAGTTACTTTCAAATGCTAAATAAATAGTAGAATCAAAAAGTACTGATGCAAATAAAAGCTCATGTACTTATAACCTTTGGAATGAAACTTTCCTGAATCATCTTGAGCTGCATCAGAACAAGTATAAGAGCCCTGGAATCTACCTGAACCACTGAGGGATTACACAGATAGAAGACCATATGGGCATAGAAAAGAGTCGCTGGAGACCTGGTGCAGAGAGAACAACCTCTGTCTGAACCTTTTTAAAACGAAGGAGTTGATAGTGGATTTTAGGAGGAGCAGCTGTTCACCGCTGCCTCTCTACATCATAGGCACAGAAGTTGAAAAGGTGTCCTGCTGGAAGTATCTGGGTCTGCACATCCCCGACAGACTAACTTGGTCCACTAATGCAGCAAGCATTGTTAAGAAGACCCACCAGCGTCTGTATTTTTTGAGGAGACTCAAGGCTGCTGGACTAGGCCTCCCTGCTCTCATGTCTTTTTATCGATGTGGAGTGGAAGTGTGTTGACCCAGTCCATCACAGTGTGGTACGGCCACTGCTCAGCCCAGGACAGGACAGATCTACAGCGTGTGGTCAGAGCAGCAGAGAAGATCACTGGATGTGACTTTACACCCATCAGTGACATTTATGAGGAGCGTTGCAGAAGACGGGCCTCCAGGATCATGGGGGGCCCCTCGCACCCTCCACCATCTGTTTGTTCCTCTGCCTCTGGGACGAGACTGAGGAGCATTAAAGCCAGAACATCTCGGCTGAAGTTCAGCTTCTTTCCTGAGGCTGTCAGACTTTTGAACAGTGCACACTGACTTCCTGCTTGGGCTGCCTCTCTATCTTGCCACGTTTTTTTTTTTTACTACTTGTTCATTGGAACTGGTAAATGTTGTTGTTTTGAATGTATTTACTTTTTAACATTGCTTATTTATTATTGTTTTTTTTATCTCTTTCTGGATCACTGGGCCTCGGGGAGCACATTTCGTTCTGTCATGTGTTTCTCTCGCATGTTTGAATGACAAATAAAGAATCTTGAACCTTGAAAGTACTATGGTTTAAAGGCACACAGCGTAACTTTTCAGGTTTAGGATACGCCACCATGGAGATGCTGCTGCAATAATCCACAATGTTTAGGTTGATCACAGGGGTGTGCAAATATTGAAATATAGATATATTGTATTGTTTAATTTGATGATACAGTATTGTCGCGGGCTGCTGTATATCACTATACGAGTATGTAGCCACAATTTTAGTCCTAACCTTTAGTCGTTTCTGGGTGCAGGGGATCCAGGCCTAACGCGCTACCAGACTGGCACATTATAAAGCAGAAAGGAGTAGGATGGATGAATAGATGTTCAATAATATTACAGAGTTGAGTAGTGAAAGCTGGACCACCGGCCAGTGATGTTACGAGATGTGCCGAGGTTTCGAAGCCTGTGTCGAGTAATGAAGGGGGTGTTTCCGTGAAGCGTGTTTTTCGAGGCTCGCTTCATTTGGGGGAGGAGCCAAAAATGATGACATCCGAAGCCTCGCTGCCCGGCTCGACCACGTGACTGCTTCAAGAAGTGGTTCACGGATTTGGCGCATGGGAAGCATTAGGGCCAGTGAAAGGCAACGGATTCCCCCAAAACATTTTGTGGTTTTGGGTTATTGCGAGTTTGGTACATTCTATTTGAGATTTTTATTTATTTATTTATTTTTTTTGGTGATGGAGCAGCAAGTGGCTTTTCTCTGCACGCCTGCTTCATCTGTGCGCTGTGAAAGGTTTTTTTTTTTTTTAAAGCAGGGGAAGTTCTCTGTAAAAAAGAAACCGTCTGAGTCCAAATACTGTGGAGGAATTGATATTTTTAAATAAAAATGAATAAAATGACCCTATTTTGCCGTCCTTATTGTGGCATAAGTACAGACATAAAGTAGTAACACAAGCACAGTCACATTACATCCTGATCTCCAATTTGTTCTTGCTTTTTCTTTTAACCCGACCGTTATATGATGAACACAGACTCTATGTTAATACATTCATTCTTTATGTTGAAATCACAAACATTCAAATATTTAATCATTAATTTATTCAATATAAATCTTTCTATCAGAACCTCGATGATCATCTTGATTGTTCTATTTTCAATCTGCCTGTTATATATATATTTTTGGACACTTGATGGCGCCGTGGAGCAAATGAAGCACCTTGAAGCATCGGCTCAAGAGTCGAGCAAATGGCTGGAACACTTCAGTGCTTCATGGGGCTTCATTTCAACATCACGACCACCGGCCAGAAGGAGACTGGTAAAAACTGTGTGACCTCCTGTCACCCATACACCCAGTACACTGGCACCTGTGCATTTATATAGAGCTTGACTCCACCCTGCCCCCTTGTGGCCAAGCTGAATATAGGTCACCAAATTAACCCCAGCCTAAACAAAAGAAAAATGGCTCCTACAGAGTATTTTTAGGTATATTTTACAAAATAATTTTCTGCTAGAGCTACAATTGTGTTGACATTTTCACTGTTTTGAGTAAAATGCTTTTTTTTTTTTCATATTAACTTTGCACAAACTTAGTGAACTTAGTAGAGTTTTAGTATCACAGCAATGATTTAAACCAGCTACTTCATGGGCACTGAGTCATATGAAGAGCTACAGTTTGATACTCTCTTCTGAAATAACACATGTGCTCAGTTGAACTTTAATGATACATTATTAATGATGATTAATGATAATCATCTATGTGAAGACACTGATTATGTTCATGATTTATCACAATAATTATCAACAATGACAGCGAGGTGAGAAAAAGAGATCAATATTCAGCACTTTATTTATCTCAGTAATTGTTACAATTTTAAGTACAGTCTTAGCAATTATCATCATTGCTTCTAGAGTGTGTTTATATGTACATCAGTGTCCCGCTTATAAATGGAGTATCCCGGTTATAAATGGAGTATCCCTGTTATAAATGGAGTATCCCTGTTATAAATGGAGTATCCCTGTTATAAATGGAGTATCCCTGTTATAAATGGAGTATCCCTGTTATAAATGGAGTATCCTGGTTATAAATGGAGTATCCCTGTTATAAATGGAGTATCCTGGTTATAAATGGAGTATCCTGTTATAAATGGAGTATGCCCGTTTCTTGACATAATCTTACAAATGCACAAGTGTAAAAATTGTACATCTAATAACCCAGGAAAAATACAAACAACCATGAGCTCCTTTAGGAAGCTTGAGAGGTTCCTAACCAACAGTAAGGAACTATGAGGTATCCCACAATCCACTGCACAGATCAAACCAAACGTTTCCAATCACTATTGTGCAAGTTCTACACTGCAGCAGATTCTTCATTAAAATCTTATACATACATATAAACCATAACCACTACAGAGCCACATCAGCCCGTTTTAGCTTTTAATGTGTTTAATGCAGCTTTGACACATTTGTTTATGTTTTACAGAAATGAAACTTAAAACCACATGGCTCATTTGCATAAACTGCGCTGAAAAAAACAAAACAACTCGCTCATCTAAACTTCATGTATAATGAACATATTTTTAAGATATTGTCATTTTAAAATCCATATAAATGCAAGGGTGATTAAAAAAAAAGAATAGCAACAAAATAAAATGTAATTGTAGATACAGCTCACTAATAAGTTCAGTGCTATTTTTAAAACCAGCCTGCGACTCATGTAGTCCTTTGGGGCACTGCTGATTTAGACTTTGTTTTTCACTGAACAGTATCAAATCGATTTGAAATATCACGTACGGAATCGAAAGTGCACTGTATCGAAAAACATATCGCATCGTGGCCTGTGTATCGATTTATGTATCATATTGGCAACTTCTTAATGAAACCCAGCCCTATTGGTCACATTTTTATAGAGCACTTATCCACCCTCAAGACACTCACAGAACTTTACATCACTCACCCATTCACACTCACATTCACACACCAGTGTACACACACACTAGGGACGAGGTGGGTCAAGTGTGTTGCCCAAGGACACAACGACAGCATTCATCTGTGGGAGCTGGAATCACATCAGCCAACCAGCCAACTCTACCAATGATGTCTATGTCGAGAGCAGGATTCTAAGTGCCAACCTTCGGATTAGTGGATAAACGCTCTACCAACTGAGCTTCTGTCACCCACAGTATTATAATATTGTGTGTATTATATTATTAAACTTCTACTACTTTTAAATCCATGCATTTTTACTGTGAGGGGGATTGTCTCTTCACATCACACATCTCACCTGTTATTTAGTTTATTTATGAGACAGGGACAGTGCACAGTATACATTGCTTTGTGCCATGTCGTAGAACTAGAGCTTATTTCCACCTGTCGTCCCTGGTGCATGTTTTGGGTTGATGGGGGAAACTGCTTGCCAGGCTGGCACCACCCAGTACCTCCACTCCATTTCATTTCTCTCCAGCGACTGTCAGGAATCAAAATACACTAGATGTTTGCATGAACCCCAGAGGTTGTAGACCACACCGGCCAATCAGCTGTGAGCTGTGAAGCCATGACGTCAAACTGATGCTCCTGTCTGGGTCCCTTTTGTGGAAGAGCACAACAGTAAACAAAGTGTCAAGATGGATGTAGACAAACCAAACATTCTGTGTTGGCAACGATTCCCGAGATCGAGGATTTAAAGTTGGCACAAAGAGAATGTTTGGTGAATTTTCTCAATCGGAAAGATGTGATTGTCCTTCTTCCTACGGGATTTGGTGCCAGTGATGCCGCTCACATGCTACTTAGTAACATGTTACTGTAGTCCGATTACTTTTTTCAGTACCGAGTTGTCTAACGCAGTGCTATTTCCAAACCAGTAGTCCGATTTAAGTTACTTATCTAATACACTGTGTATTACTATTTTTGCATTTCAAGGTGAAGTTTATTTATTTATTTTTATTTTTTGGCGACGTGGGTTTTGTGACCCCAAAGATCATATAAATCGTCTCTGGTGACACATTTCCTATGATGATATGTCACCTCTGCTCCGCCACGAGTCAGATGTAAACAATGGAGGGAGAGAGGTACGACTTTTGCAGCTGGAAATACAAACATTCTTTTGATTTTCTTTCAGCTAAGGATGGCAACATTAAGGTTCATTGTACACTATGTGCTTTAGACCAAGTGTTGTCTGCCTTCAAGAATACAACATGGCACAACCACATTAACAGAGCAGGTCCCGCCCGGTGCGAAGAAAACAGTGGGGCTGGGTATCATTAAGAAGTTGCCGATACGACACATACCTCGATACACAGGCCACAATACGATACATATCTCGATACAGTGCACTTTAGGTTCGATATGATATATTTCAAATCGATTCGATACGGTTCAATAATAAAAATTAAAAAAAAGCCTAAATCATGGCTGTGCAACTGTGTGTGTCTTTCTTAAACCACTTCTTGTGCAAAGTTAATATGAAACACAAACATTTTAATCATCAAAACTGTGAAAATGTCAAATGTGTCGCATAAACAAGTTTTGTTCCTCTAAACAAACAACAAAACTGTAGCTGTAACAAAATAATGTAGCAAAATATACCAAAAAATACTCTTGGCGATATATTGATACAGCAGCCCACGATATCGATACTGTATTGCATTAAACGATACGATATATCGATATTTTGATATTTTTGCACACCCCTAGAAAACAGTAACGTAAAGTAACTCGTAATCTAACTTAGTTACCTTTAAAAGCAAGTAGTCAACTAAGTTACTTTTTAAAGAAGTAATCAATACTCAGTAGTCAGATTACAATTTCAAAGTAACTATGGCAACACTGTTTGCAGCATTACATACGCCTCGATCAAATAGCAGCAACAGAGGCTTTGCACCGTCACATGTCCCCATGGCAACGGTGCCTACGCCGCCATGACACCGGGCACACTGTCATTGACTTCAGCAGCATCAGAGAAACATGGGCAGGTTTTGTTGTGTATTTGGTTGTTCTAGATCACAGGTGTCAAACATAAGGCCCGGGGGCCAGATCCGGCCCTCCAAGACCTTTAATGTGGCCCTTGGGTGATTTTCTACTAAAATATTTTAATTATATTTTCTATTAAAATATTGGTAATTTTCTGTGGTGTTTATCAGCAGCAGCGTCTCCAGCGTCTCTGTACGTGGCCCCTCCCACCAGAGCAGCACAAATGAAGACTTGTCTCTTTCCAAACGCTCTTAAAGGACGATCGTTTTGACTGTTGACCGTGACACCCTCATCAGAAAAATGTCCAAAATGAGAAAAGTGCAGCCGAGTGCAGGATTTTACAACAAAAATAGACTTATTCCTGTTTGCAGACAAGTTAATGTTAAAACATTGTGTTGAAATTGATTTTTTCTTCAAGTTTCAGGTTGTTCATAATATTATAATAGTATAATAAGAGTTCATCAATTAAAAAAGATTTCTGTAATAGATTTGTGTTTCTCTGCACAAATATTTGAACTTATTGTTATTTTTGGGGTTTATATGACATGAGTTTTCTGATCCAGCCCCTTTGGATTAAAGTAGGTTGGATACGGCCCCCGGACCAAAATGAGTTTGACACCCCTGATCTAGACGCTCTGAAAAGGATAAAATGATTTGTTTCTTCACTGTTCCTCTGGAAATTATTCAAAAGGGGCTCAAACAAGCGAATTATCGAAAAAAAAGACGCTGATTATGGCTAAAGAACATAAACCACGAAGAGATTTCCAATGGAACCATCAAGACACCCAAAGTTTCATCAAGGTATTTGCTATTTAAATTTTTTCATAGTTTATTTAATGAATGAAGCACATTTACTGAACTAAAATGTCATTAATTTATCCAGGAAAACCCGCTCTAGTTTACGATTTAACAAACCCACACTGGGCTCCTATGATCAACATGACGCACGAGTCGAAGAGTCTGTGAGCCGAACCTCGAAAGAATCGGTCATGAAAAGATCCTCGCGAACATTAGAAAGATCCACTCACAAAAAGAGATTCATTCTAGAAGACATAGTTGTGGATAAACAAGACAATAAAGAAAACATGGTCCTACGATGAGTGACATGTTTATATGTGCTGGAAGATCCAGTTTCTACTGCCACTCACACTGCAAATGTTTTCTTTTTACATTTTAGTTCAGTAAATGTGCTTCTCTCATTAAATAAACTGTAAAACCATTTAAATAACAAATACCTTGATGAAAGTGACGTGAGTGTGTCTTGATGGGACCATAGGAAATCTCTTCGGGGTTTATGTTCTCTAGACATAATCCGCATCTTTTTTTTGATAATTCCCTTGTTTGAGCTCCTGATGAGTCATTTCCAGAGGAATAGTGAAGAAATGAATCCTTTTATCCCTTTCAGAGGGTCTAGAACAACCAAATACACAACAAAACCTGCCCATGTTTCTCCGATGCTGCTGAAGTCAATGACATAGTGTGCCCAGTGTCATGGCGGCGTAGGAACCGTTGCCATGGGGACACGTGACAGTGCAAAGCCTCTATTGGTTAAATTTTAAAAAGTACCCATCCACTGAACGAATCCTAATCAGACATTTTTACGAAGTGAAAACTCCACGCAGAAAGGCCGAGGTGAACCGGGGATTGAACCTGGAACCTTCTTGCTTTGAAGCACCGTGGTGATCTCACCTGTTACTCGGCCTGGTGGCGTCTCCTGATTGTTTCCATGGAGACAGACAAGCTTAATGCCATACACTGTAGTCAAAGCAATAATATCTCCATGGAGACAAGCGACTGACACATACTCTAGTAGAAAAGTTACACAGTGCACCTTTAATGTTGAAAATCACATCTATTGTCTACAGAAAGAGAGTTAATTATCATTGTGGTATCAGAATCATTATTTGGATAAATTAATCAATAACTAACCTTAAAATTAAGCATGTATAACATAGGATCTATTGTAATTGGACAAAATATTAATTAAGAATCTGATATTTCCAATAATAATGTGCATAAATTAGAAAAAACAAATCATATCTTAAGGCAAAAATGTTTGAATCTAAATTATTGCATTTTATATTTATTTTGCCTATATACCCCGTGAAAATGATGTTCAGGAATTTTAATTAAAACCTGTAATGTAAAGTAATTAAAAATAATGAAATTCAAATTAATAAAATTACAAAAAATAATAATAAATTAATTTTAAATGATAACATTTAAACCAATAATATTACATGTGATAAATAAATATGATCATAAAAAAGAAGGAACGACATAAGAATTACTCATGATCAATGGAATAAAAAAGAAATTATAGGTCAAATAAAATACTCTGAGAAAGAAGTGAGGAAAGTAACAGAGTACTTCCCACCACTGGGGTTAGTTATGTAGCAGACAAGAGTGAATGAAGTAACACAGTACTGGGAATTGCACTCACACACAAACAATGCACATTAAGCAGGGTCAGTGGGGTCAGTAGGGTCAGTGGGGTCAGTGGGGTCAGTGGTTCCAACTGTGTGTTAAGTGTCCAAAGGTTGATGGTTCGGGATATTATCTTTGTATCCACGAGCAAGACCATCTTCTCCCACCTTGACTGGTCGAGTGTTTGTATTTGTGTGATTGTTGGTTGCTGAAGTTTCTGTTTCAGTGTTGGCTTTCATGTGTTGTTGTTTTGTCCCTGAGCAAGACACTTTGATTGACTGGTTCAGTTTTTATAAGCACCTTCTGTCTCTGATGTGCAAAATGAAGTCGGTCTACACACTGGGACAAGAAGCACTTTCTTCTTTTGTGCTGCACGGATGATGTTTTCTTCTCTTTTAATAATAGAATAATATGAAATAAATGGTGATTAGGTTTATTATTTAAGTGTCCCCTCCCCTCTGCGCGCTCCTTTTGACTCAAGAGCAATTACACGACTGCACTGAGTGAACATTAGTCAGTAATCGTGTATAACTCGGCCTACGCGTTTAAGGGCCATCACAGATACCCGTGAGTGCAGTAGGCTATAAGCCTATCCGTGTGCTCTTGGTTTTAACGCGCAGGTGACAGATCCACTCGGAGCCGCATGTCCGGGCTGGACGCGCATTGTCAGTCTGGTGCAGAATGTGAGTGACGGTGAGTCAGAGCGCAGCCTCACCTCAGAGACAAGAGGACAGCTCTGTGATACCCGAGACAAAGCGCTAACAAAGAGCTCCACACACACGCAGACGCGCGCACACGCGCGCACAGCCGCACAGTGCCGCCGCCGCCGCTCCGTGCACATGCAGCTGGACATCAGGCCGGACCTGAGTGTGCTCAGTGCGTCTGTGACACGTCCGCACCTCGAGCATACGTCTGAAGAGATAATGGCCCATCTCTGCAGACTAATCCTGTACAAGGCCAGCGCACAGATGTGGACGTGAGGTGAGCTGCGGGGATGGCCGGGCCCTGTGAGCCGTTCTTACCCATGACAGGATCCGTAGCACGGTCCGCGGGTGCGTGAAGAAGGCGTAAGGATCGAAGCTTCCGTTCCCAGCCTTAGCGGCTCCGTACGGGGCTTTAGACTCCATCCTCCCGCTCCTCCTCCGGATCAGAGCTCACAGCGAGAGCAGCTTCAGCACCGGAGACGTTTGCTTCAGTGCGAGCGCGGCAAAGCTCACCGTGACGTCACACAGTCTAAACACGAGTCACAGGCGCACGCAGTGTGCGCCATGCGCAAAGCACAGCCTGGAAGTCCAGTTATGGCAAACAGACGCGCCAGGTCTACACCAAGGTGTTCCAACTTTTTTCTACCGAGGGCCACTTATTGACACAAACTGTATATGAAGAGGAGGAGCACAGCCCGGGGACAACACCGAGTCATTCAGATGGAGCATGACATAACAGAACCAGCACACCTTTTACAAGAGAGAACATTCAGGTTACGTCTGGGTCACAGCCATGGGAGTGATTATTTGCAGGGGCCCTCCACACCACCAGACGTCAACACAAAAGAAACCACGTGAGGCACAAGAGTCAAATCACTCTCAAGAGTCACAATGAAGCACTGCTGTTGCCCGCACAGGTTCACCTGTGACCTGTGGTCTTCTCCATCAGTCCAGCCCATGGCCAGATGGACACACACTAATGTATGTAAGACTATACGCTCAAGATGCCACGTTTACAGCTCATATATGACATGACCGAGCCCAGACACTGTTAACAGTAAAGTCAGACTGCCCTCTGCTGGCTAAAAATAGTGTTGCACTTACAGTTGTAATTTTTCAATAGTTCTACTAACTATATCAAATAAGAATAGATAATGGAGACTGGAGAAAACTTGACCCTGGTTCACACCACTTTCTATGTCATAGCATGATAAAAAAACAGATGTACTCACACAGTAGTAAAGAGTGAAAAGATGCTTTGGACCCACGTAATGCTCTCCACACATCGTTGGTTAAACCTTTGACCAGTGTCTCTGAATGTTTAAATATCACCACTTACAATGACTACTGGAGAAATACAGACTTTTCTAACAGATATTCATCTAGACTTCCTCAGGATAACTGAATACACTTGATGGGCCTTTGCTCTCACACAGCAGAGTGAATGTAAGGAGCCATGTACCATAGACACATGAACATGTCATGTGAAGACAATAATCTCACCTTTTCTATAATCAAAGAAACTTTGGACAAAGAAAGATTTGGATCTGATTTCTTTGGATATGAGATCAGTGAGATGTTCAAATCAAATCTAAAGCTGATTTACACTGGACATGATGTTCTATTTATTTATGTCATGATTTGGTGTTTAGGTTCAGTTATTCAATCATAAGCAGAATGAGCCAAACATGAGTCTTTTATTTGCGTTGCCATTTTCAGTGCTCAAATCCAGTTGGTTTCAACCTAAAAGGACTCTCTGATCTAAATGGTCTCTACTAAACCCTAGCACATGCACAAAGGATGAGTCAGTGCTAGTGCAGCCTCTGCAGCTCTGGGGGGGAATTCTGGAGGTTCTGAGCTTCACATGACGCCTGTTCTGTCCATAAACTGAGAATGAGACAAACTTGGATGTGTCTCGATCTGCAGGTTTTGTCACTGCCACTGCAGGTTCAGTTGTGACAGGAAGAGTGCAGGAAGTATGACTCTTTTTACAAACCTGTTCTAAAGATGTTTCCTCATCACAAACACACCTGGAGTTTTTTGTTTCAGTCACACATTTAACACACAAACCCTGCACATTTACACTGAGTTCTTCTCTCAAAACAGAATCTGTCCCACCTTGTGATGTCATGTGGTAATACAGGGAGTGCTCCACTGTGTTTTTAAACTCCACACACCTTCACTTGAATCATTTGGATCATTTCAGGTCTGGAATTGCCAATCTCTACTGAACTAAATGTAAAAGGAGCTGTTCACTTGAAACATAGTGACATCATGACATCACAAGGTGGAAGAGAGTGTTTTGAGCTTTGGAGATGTAGACAGACTAATAATAAAGAGTTACTCAAACATGTGTGAATGAAACAAAACACACATGACTTGAAGCTCACAAGAGTTTATTTATTTTAATGTGGGACTTCCTTGTTTCCACACAATGCTTATTTTATCTTTAGAATCATTTTGGTTTGTAGACATTCTAGAAAAGCTTTCATGTAACACTTCTTTGTTCCATGTCAGTTCATCTCCTCAGGTGTTTGAAGAGTATTTACAGACAGATGCAGTCACACAGGTTTGTCTCCCTTCAAATGTCCCATACTTTGAATAGTTGTAATTCCACATGTGAATCCTGAGGCCAAAGCACACACTGTATAAACAAGTGTGTCAGCACCCACAGCGCTCAGCTCCACTCAAATGAAGCTCGAGATGTTAGTGGTTACACAGGCGGATTTGAAGCCCGGCTCTATATTAGGAATGGGATTTTTAAAAACAAATAAAATAGGGTCAGTCCATATGAAATCAGAAACCCTCCCCTATGAGCCGTCTCAGATTTGGCTGAAAAAAACCCTAAAAATGTCTAAAATCACCAAATGAAAGAATCTCAAATTTGAACTCAATCCCTTGAGTCGTTCCTGAGTTATGGCCCGTTGAAATTTTGGGGCCATGCTCACTTTTAAGCATGTTTGAGAGACCATAACTTCATAAAAAATAGAGTTAGGAAGCTGAAAATTTGTATTATTGTAGATTCTGGGTCATAGATTCTGAATCTGTTACTATAATCTCCAATTGTCTTCCCTTATAACAAGAAATTAGTGTTTAAATCTATTAAAGGTAATTGAATCTTTCTATCAGGTGGAAAAGTACATAAGCTCCACCAAAAATGACCCGTGAGAGCTCATTTTCAAAAATTCCGTTTGAAATAAAGGAAATTAATAGTTGTTTTTATTACTTTAAACTAATCAAAATATGCCAAAGTTTCTCTGGTAAAATATGATCAACATCTAACTGTACCACATGGGGAACCGAGGCTCCAAAGAAGGGACCAAAAAGATCACATTTGATCTGTGACCATATTTGGGACTCTACACCATCCACATGAAAGCTCAGAAAAGTTTAAGATTGTTGTCAGAAATGTTCATTCTCTCAAATATTCAGGTTCAGCAGTTAGTCTGTAAATATCTGCTTGGAGTAAATAGATCTTGGACCTCAAAAATTGAAAAAAAAAAATTGAGCTGCAACCAAATGTGAGATTTTGGGGGCCCACAGCGCCCCCCTTAATAAAGACACCAAATATTTGACAACAGATTTAGAATCTATGACCAAGAATCTACAATAATACAAATTTTCAGTTTCCTAGCTCTATTTTTTATGAAGTTCTGGTCTCTTAAACATGTTTATAAATTAAGGCTTCAGAAAAAGTGAACATGGCTCCAAAATTTCAGTGGGTCATAACTCAGGAACGACTCAAGGGATTGAGCTAAAATTTGAGATTCTTTCATTTGGTGATTTTAGAAATTATTTGACATTTTTTCAGCCAAATGTGAGATGGCTCATAGGGGAGATTCCTTGAAAACGGCTGATTTCATACAGACTGACCCAATAGTGAAATAAAAACTATCTGTAGCCCATATTTATGTCTATCCATGTTGCAACAAAAACTTTTAAAACTTTTTAATTACAACTTTTACCTTGCAAAAACAGGCAATAAGAGCAATCACATTATCAACTTACAGTGAACCAACCAATATGTTATTTATGAACCTTCAAACTCAGATATTTTACAATTTAGTCGACCTTTACACTTTAATAAGCATGTTCAGAGTAAACAACAATCTCTTCTCAAAATCATTACAGAAAATGTTCAAAATCGAAAATAGCCAATATGAGCTCAGAAGTACGACCACGTTTATCAAAAAGAAAATCAGAACTAACATTATGAAATTTTACAAATCTGTTAAACCCTTGTGCACCTTTAAAAATAGTGGAAAAAACGGATAACAGACGTTTCCTGTTTACATGATTTAAACTGCCATGCCGGACTTTTACGCCGCATACAGACTAAAACCAAGACTAAACCAGGACTGAACCAGGACTAAACCAGGACTAAACCAGGACGGAACCAGGACTAAACCAGGACTGAACCAGGACTAAACCAGGACTAAACCAGGACTGAACCAGGACTAAACCAGGACTGAACCAGGACTAAACCCAGGACTGAACCAGGACTAAACCAGGACTAAAACCAGACTAAACCAGACTGAACCAGACTAAACCAGGACTAACCAGGACTAAACCAGGAGAGTGAAGCCCGGCTCTCTCTCTCTCTCTCTCTCTCTCTCTCTCTCTCTCTCTCTCTCTCTCTCTCTCTCTCTCTCTCTCTATATATATATATATATATATATATATATATATATATATATATATATATATTCTTTTTAAAATAATAATATAACAGATCAAAGAGGAAAGGAAAGTCAGAAAACACTGTTATATTCTACATGTTTCTTTAATAAAAATGGCTTCATAATTTCATATTTGTGAAATATATGGAAAATACTGGAAGAAAATATTGGCTTTATTATATATGTATATGTGTGTGTGTGTGTGTGTGTGTGTCTAATTTTCTGTCAGTTTGGAAGTAAATGAACAGCTTAGCATTTAGATTTTGTTAATTTTATTTTTATGTATAATTTTATAACATGTCGTCTGTAAAGGACACCAGGATATTTTGGTGTTAAATGACCAACATCTTTGACAAGCTTCTACAGTCGTCTCAAAATGTTTTTAGACTTAGACTTTTAATTTCTTACATTTGTTTTTATCATTGTGCAGCCACAAAGTAACTCCTATTGAGTTCCTTTGTTTTATCCCGGGCATAATAATACCCTATACTTCCCCAGACCCACTTAGTTAGAGGAAACTATTCCCCCCACTCCTGCACACAGAGCCAGCTCACTCACTTCTTTAAAACTGCAGCTGGAGAGCTCGGTGGGCCCTGTGTTCCCCGGTGCTTTCCCCCATCTATAGAGTATGAGGAATAGACAAACATGAGTATGCACCCGCCGTGCTGGTTTAATATTTAATTAAGTTGGGTACATGGGAAAAAATGTAATTAATCACTTTTAATTCAATGCAAACGTGTTCAAATAAGCAAATGTGAAAGACTGAAACATATGTCAAGGCCATGTGTGTGTTACATACATTTCTCACTATGAATCAATGTCACCAATATCTATGCCACCATATAAAAAAAATAAAATAAAAATCCCAAAACAGTGGCCCTGGAGTTCCTCCCTATACAAGTATAATAACTTCTTATTGTGTCACGCTGCAGTGTCAGGATGAGGGCTCCCTCTGGTGGTGGGTCACTGCAGTGTGTGGATGATACCATGGACAGCTCCCCATAAGACTCACTCCCACCTCTCTGTGAAAAGGGAAATGATTTTAGTGAAAAACAACAGTCGGTTTTGTATTGCTCTTTACTCACCAGGACATGATGGATCTGTGCTGACTCCATTCTCTTAAACACATTTCTGGGCACATATTTAATAAAACATACATGTGGAGGAAGGCACTGAGTGTATATACTCTCCTTCTATTCCCCTCATTTTCCTTTGACAAAAACAATAAATTACATTTCAGTAATTCAGTAATCATAGTCATTGTCTCAAATGTTTGGAAATCCTACGTAGCATTCCTTGATTTCCCTTTTTTGAAACAAACAACTCCTCCTAAATAGATATAACATGTACAAACTCTACAGATGTAATCGGCCGTGCTGTAGGTGGTAAAAGCAGCAGATATGATGTTACCAAGACCAGAGTCTCACACACTGAACTCCCCTTCCACTCAGGGTCGTGGAGCAGGTGAGGAAGAGGAAGTAATGGACGAAGCCCCGGACGTCCGATGTCCCAACAGACGTGGAGGGGGCGGAGTCAGACATCCCAACAGAAGTGGAGGGGGCGGAGTCAGACATCCCAGCAGAAGTGGAGTGGGCGGGGCGTTCATGGCTGTGCTGGGCTGTTCCTCTTCATCTCTGTGGCGCTTGGATCCACAGAAAGGCAGAAAGTCTAGAGAAGAAGTCACATCCTCTTCAAAGACGGGGCTGGGTGCTGGAGGTGGATCATCTGCCCGCTGCTGAGGACCCCCCACTTCATCTTCATCTTCGTCCTCTTCCTCAGAGAGACTGCTGGAGTAAATGTAACAAACAGGCTGGTTTGTTACCCATGAGAACACAGCACTTGAAACATATTTGCACATATTACAAAAGACATTGCACATAATTGGTTTTAAAATGTATTTATTGTATTTCCTTTTACCACTTTTAACCCTGAGGCACAGTAGCACTTTAACTGAAAACTGCTGGTCCCTGGAGGAAAAGGAGACAGAATTAACCAATTACCTTTTCAACTGAGTTAGTGTAGTTAGTTATGGAATATTTCAAAAAGTGTCTCCACACGTCTCTAACACTCTGGATCACTAAGAAATGAGGTCCTATGTCCAAAATTCCAGACTGTCCCTTTAAACAGAGATGCACTTTGACTGTTAATTACGCGTTTGCTGTCACATTTGTGTCTTGTGTAAAAGTTGGCTGGTATTTTAAACCATAATAATGCTATCAAAAGACTGTTTTACCACCAAATCTGCCTAAGATTTTGAACCACCGTTGAAGCCCAACTTGTCCACTTCCCCTGAGTTGCTCTGCTATTGAACATTAGACAGTAGATGGTGTGGATGCACATACTCGTGTCTTTGGGCAAATTATTAGTTGGTCAACCCTGTTTGTTTTCAACTTTAACCCGAAGAATTGTGCGGTGCAGCGATGTTCGTTTGTTTTTCTCTGGAGGATTTTGGGCACACATCACCCATGTCCGCTCGGTCCAGTGTAGTCTGACCATCACTTAGGTTTTATACTCACAAATCAAAATCCACAAATAAACTTTTGTGCAAATTAATTTGAAATACAATAGGTTTATTTATGCCTTTCCACCTCCTGTTACTTATGTGAATCTGTATGTGCATAAAAAATAAGGTGATGTGCAGAATATTGATGCAAAAATTTGGTTCAGTCTTCTGAATCGATTTGATTGGTTTATTAACAATTCATGTATCATTTGTTTTTCAAAATAAAACCAAAAATAAGAAAACAAAAAAACAACAGTTTTCTTCATTATTTGTCTCGAAAACCAAAAAACGATTTGTTTTTTCAGTTTTCGATTTTGTGTTAAAAGGGGAATGGAACAAATGGATAACGGACGTTTTTCCCATTTTCCATGACAAACTGTGATGCTGGACTTTTGCACCGCATATGGACTCTACCAGGACTAAACCAGGACTAAACCAGGACTAAACCAGGACTAAAACAGGACTGAACCAGGACTGAACCAGGACTAAACCAGGACTAAACCAGGACTGAACCAGGACTAAACCAGGACTAAACCAGGACTGAACCAGGACTGAACCAGGACTAAACCAGGACTAAAACAGGACTAAACCAGGACTAAAACAGGACTAAACCAGGACTAAACCAGGACTAAACCAGGACTAAAACAGGACTGAACCAGGACTGAACCAGGACTAAACAGGACTAAAACAGGACTGAACCAGGACTGAAACCAGGACTAAACAGGACTGAACCAGGACTAAAACAGGACTAAACCAGGACTAAACCAGGACTAAACCAGGACTAAACCAGGACTAAAACAGGACTAAAACAGGACTAAAACAGGACTAAACCAGGACTGAACCAGGACTAAACCAGGACTAAAACAGGACTAAACCAGGACTAAACCAGGACTAAAACCAGGACTGAAACAGGACTAAACCAGGGCTAAAACAGGACTAAACCAGGACTAAAACAGGACTAAAACAGGACTAAACCAGGACTAAACCAGGACTGAAACAGGACTAAACAGGACTAAACCAGGACTGAAACAGGACTAAACCAGGACTGAAACAGGACTAAACCAGGACTAAACCAGGACTAAAACAGGACTGAACCAGGACTAAACCAGGACTGAAACAGGACTAAACCAGGACTAAACCAGGACTGAAACAGGACTAAACCAGGACTAAAACAGGACTAAAACAGGACTAAACCAGGACTGAACCAGGACTAAAACAGGACCAAACCAGGACTAAAACAGGACTGAACCAGGACTAAAACAGAACTAAACCAGGACTAAAACAGGACTGAACCAGGACTAAAACAGAACTAAACCAGGACTAAAACAGGACTAAAACAGAACTAAACCAGGACTAAACCAGGACTGAACCAGGACTAAAACAGGACTAAAACAGGACTAAACCAGGACTGAACCAGGACTAAACCAGGACTAAAACAGGACTAAAACACGACTAAAACAGGACTGAACCAGGACTAAAACAGAACTAAACCAGGACTAAACCAGGACTAAACCAGGACTGAACCAGGACTAAAACAGGACTAAAACAGGACTAAACCAGGACTAAAACAGGACTAAAACAGGACTAAAACACAGGACTAAAACAGGACTAAACCAGGACTGAACCAGGACTAAAACCAGGACTAAACCAGGACTAAAACCAGGACTGAACCAGGACTAAAACAGGACTAAAACAGGACTAAACAGGACTAAACCAGGACTAAAACAGGACTGAACCAGGACTAAAACAGGACTGAACCAGGACAAAAACAGAACTAAAACAGGACTAAACCAGGACTAAACCAGGACTGAAACAGGACTAAAACAGGACTAAACCAGGACTGAACCAGGACTGAACCAGGACTAAACCAGGACTGAACCAGGACTAAACCAGGACTAAAACAGGACTGAACCAGGACTAAAACAGGACTAAACCAGGATTAACCAGGACTGAACCAGGACTAAACCAGGACTGAAACAGGACTAAAACAGGACTAAACCAGGACTGAACCGGGACTAAAACAGGACTAAAACAGGACTGAACCAGGACTGAACCAGGACTGAACCAGGACTAAACAGGACTGAACCAGGACTAAAACAGGACTAAAACAGGATTAAACCAGGACTAAACCAGGACTGAACCAGGACTAAAACAGGACTAAAACAGGACTAAACCAGGACTGAACCAGGACTAAACCAGGACTGAACCAGGACTAAAACAGGACTAAAACAGGACTAAACCAGGACTGAACCAGGACTAAACCAGGCGTGTCGGGACGGTCGGAGGTGCACCCATGTAGACTGATCAGGACTGAGTCTGGGACCGGACCAGGACTAAGACCGGGACTGAGACCGGGACCAGGAATAGGACTGAACCAGGACTGATCCCAGGACTAAAACAGGACTACACTAGGGCTAAACCAGGACTAAACCAGGTCTAAAGCAGAACTGAACCAGGACTAAACCAGATCCCGGTGTCAGTGCTGGTCTGGTCCTGGTCTGGTCCTAGTGTCAGTCCCGGTGTCAGTCCCGATCTTAGTCCCAGTCTGGTCCTGGTCTCAGTCCCGGTCTCAGTCCTGGTCTCAGTCCTGGTTCAGTCCTGGTTCAGTTCTGGTTCAGTCCTGGTTCAGTTCTGGTTCAGTCCTGGTTCAGTTCTGGTTCAGACCTGGTTCAGTCCTGGTTCAGTCCTGGTTCAGTTCTGGTTCAGTCCTGGTTCAGTCCTGGTTCAGTTCTGGTTCAGTCCTGGTTCAGTTCTGGTTCAGTCTGTATGCAGTGCAAAAGTCCAGCATCTCAGTTCAAGTCACAGAAACAGGAAATGGCCGTTATCCGTTTTTTCCATTATTCATTTTTAACACCAAATCAAACACTGAAAAAACAAATCGTTATCTGTTTTTTCATTTTGTTTTTGGAGACAAATAATCAAGACGATAGTTGTTTTTTCGTTTTCTTACTTTTGGTTTTATATAGAAACACGACTGAACGAATGAAACACGGATTATTAACCCTTGTGTGGTGTAAGGATCAGTCACCGACCCAAAAGAATTTTCAGCTTTGACTCAGTAATTTCAGTTTGGTTTTTTTTTGCTCACCAGGCACTATAGTACAAGGAGCCTATTCAGTTCACATTTGCTCAGATTAATAAAGACAAATGAGTTGTTGTGTTTGAAATTTTATTATTGACTTTTTTTTTTTCCTTTTTTCAATGCAACATAGTAATTTAATTTGACATTTTGGACAAATCTCTGTCTCTACAAGACTCCAGTGGTGTCTACTGATATACCAAACTTAACAAGGGTATGGACGTTTGCCACATGAAAGTGTTTCAGATGGATACTGTTTGAATGCAGTGTTGACATTTTTATCTTTGATGCACACAGCTCCTCCCCAGCGCTCGTATTGTGTTGAGGCGCGGTTCATGTCTCCAAAACAGGTCCAGATGATGTTGGACTCAGTGGTCACGGCCCACTTGGAATGGTCAATTTTGGAGGACCATTTCTTCATCGTATCATCCTTTGTGTCGATCGCCTCCACATTGATAACCTGTTTTTTACCTCTGTCACAGAAGCTCTCATCTCTTTTTGGCTGACAAGCCCAGGTCTGAGCCTTTACGTTACTGTTCAGTTGATCAGCCAGCTTCACATACAGGTCCCCATCTGAAAAAGGATGCATTCATAAACTGTGAGACACCAGCTACACACAGATTTATACCATAGACCATTGTTTCTCAAAGACTGGGTCACGACCCTCAGTTTGTTTTTGTTTTTTTCAGTCGCCTTGTCACGATCTGCATGTAGCTCTGCAACATACATGATACACAATATTTTCGGACACATGAGAGAGCTCGTGAGTCAGTGAATCCTATCTGCCTGCCCTGAGCGAGTGTTCCTGCAGCTCAAGTTAAGAAGTACTTGCTTGGTTGTCCAAAAAGAAGGGTGAGAAATCAGAAGGTCAGTGCACTTCAGGATACTTACAGATCCCTTTTATTGCTGGTTCAGTTACTGTTTTTCATTGTATAAAACTTGAGTAATACTAATTGTTCAGAGACACGATCACTCAGTCAACAATAAAATATCCTCATTCATGTTCAATAATGCTCAAATCCAGCTTTATTTTGTGATTTATGAATAATGTCTATTGCCTTGATAGCAAAGGTTTGTTATTTTTAAAATATAGGTCCCCAGAAAAATGTTTGGGAAACAAATTCAAATCCAAATTTGTATAGTCAAATAATCAATATATTTAGGGTAAAAGGATTTATACGGGACAACAGCAGAAAGGAGACATGAGTTGCTGGTATTTATATGTAAAATTAAACTCATGATGTACAAGTTGAATCTCTCTTTATAGAAATACATTGCTTTCTAGTACTGTTTGGGCATAAATAGCAGCTTTTGCATGGACATCCTTGCAGGTGTAGCCTTGTGAGCGCAGTGTGGGTCAGATACACAGATACAGAATAGTTTTCAGAGCTTTTGCCAAGCCCCCTTTTTAGTCGACCAATCGATTGGAAGGACATGTCTTCGTGAATTTATTTAGTCGACTACAGGTCTAATAAAATCAAATAAGACCAGACAATGATGTTTGTTATGACACCTCCCTCTTACCTTTGGCTTCTTCCCCGAGCGGTTTGGCCATGATTGCCAGATCCTTGTGTCCTATGGTCTGTAGGGGCACTAATGTCCCCAAACCAGTCGCAGACGTTTCCCATCTGGCAGCTTTTTCCAGCTCACTTGGGAAATCTCCAGGAAGGTCGTAGTCATATGGATATGCGTGGATTCTCTGCAGATGTTCCCCTGAAAACAGCTGGACATTACTCAGGGCCTCTCTTGGACTTCTCTAGATGCAAAACCAAATGTGTTCCTTACCCACAGTCTTGAGCGCAGAGAAGGGCAGAGACACACACAGGAAGGTCTGGCCCTTGTCTTTTCCACTGTCAGGCCAAAAGCGGTTCTGGTCCCTCCTGAATGGGAACCGAGGAGTGCTGTGAGTGATCCACAGGGCAGTCTGAGTACTGCTGTCCCCCATCACCACACCTGTACAGAGACAGAGACATCACCTGTACAGAGACAGAGACATCACCTGTACAGAGACAGAGACATCACCTGTACAGAGACAGAGACATCACCTGTACAGAGACAGAGACATCACCTGTACAGAGACAGAGACATCACCTGTACAGAGACAGAGACATCACCTGTACAGAGACATCACCTGTACAGAGACAGAGACATCACCTGTACAGAGACATCACCTGTACAGAGACATCACCTGTACAGAGACAGAGACATCACCTGTACAGAGACAGAGACATCACCTGTACAGAGACAGAGACATCACCTGTGACCCTCGGTGTCCGTGATTCCAAAAGTTGTTTATATTTAAAATATTTCTGTTTGGTCAGACCGGCTTATCAAAGCCTGATCCCATCAGGTCTCAGAAGATCAGAAGGGCTGGGCCTGGTTAGTTCTTGGATGGGAGATCGCTGGGAATTCCAGGTGCCACAGGGGGGAACCAGTGGCCAAAACTGTTGTTGTGTCCTTAGGCAAGACACTTTACATATATTGCCTAGTATGAAAGTGGTGTGTGCGTGAGTGTTGGTGGTGGTCGGAGGGGCCAATGGTGCAGATTGGCAGCCTCACTTCTGTCAGTCTGCCCCAGGGCAGCTGTGGCTACAGTAGTAGTTTACCACCACTGAGTGTGGAGAGAATGAATAATGATCTGTAAAGCCCTTTGGGGATCTGGAAAGGCTCTATATACAGTAAAGGCAATGATGAATTAAAAAGAATTGATTAATATCGCTCATTTTATCAGATCTTTTGCATTTTTTGGCCTAACAACATGAAAGTTGGCACTGCACACACCCGTCTCATTATGATGACACCCTCCAAATTTGAGATCATTCAGATGAGTGGTTTGAGAGTTATGCATGGAACAGACAAACAAACCAACAGGAGGAGACACAGACAGACGTTCCTTGCATTAATACATAGATATACTGTATATGATTGTACTGGTTCTTACTTGAAATCTAACAATGATTAAATTGTACTTTGCCATGAAATATCCAAAAGATAAATTCACAAATGTTGAACCTGATCATTTCTATTAGTGACTAGACACAAGAGTCACTGAATTACAACACAAAACGGCATTTATTTCCTCTCAATATGACTGGCCTCTAGAATGTTGTGATGTGATCTGAAACTTTTGCTCTCTGACCTTTGCTGTGCCCAAACAATTCGCTCATGGCCTGGGCTCCCGGAGGCTGGTCACTGTAGCTCAGAAACCCGAAGGTAGATGGCTGAAACAGAGACAGAGTCAAGTATTTATCAACTTGCATTCTTATTTTAGTTTAAATGTGAGTTTAAATGTGTACACCATCTCAGCACCACCACCCCTGATCACGTGCACTATCACACAGTGTGCATGTGTCCTCAAGTTGAAGCAAGTGCCTTCTAAATCCTTGTGCTGCTGATTTTTATTTTGTTTTTTTCATCTTATAAGACTGTAGATGTCACACTACATGATGCAAGGATGCATTTAATTGTACACATTCACACTATGCCATGGTTCACACGAGCAGTCGTGGAAAAGACCAAAGCTTGTGAACAGTGTTGGGAGTAACGTGTTATAAAAGTAACAAATTACAGTAATGCATTGCTTTTTGCTGTAATGTTCAGCATTACAGGGGAAAAAATCTTAATATTTTACTCAGTACAAATGTCAGTAACATGTGTTACAATGCATTTTTAACCTGGATTGAAGTGGTGGGTTTTTCGTTTTTCTTCATACAAATTCCCTAAAATCGCTGTGATATCAGCAGTGGTGAAATGTCGGAGAAGCGCCTGCGTAGACTGTGAAGTAACCGCGGGTGAAAGGACCGAAGCAGAACTCCACGCTCCACGGGTCTGACTGCAGCTGACGCAATCGCGCTTTGCAAACACCCTGTTCCATGGGCTCAGGTTCTCTCTCATTCCAAGTTCTAGTCTAAGATTAGTCATGGTTCAGTCCTGGTTCAGCTCTGGTTTAGTCCTAGTTTAGTCCTGGTTTAGACCTAGTTTAGTCCTGCTTTAGTCCTCGGTTCAGTCCTGGTTTAGTTCTAGTTCAGTCCTGGTTTAGACCTGGTTTAGTCCTGGTTTAGTCCTGGTTCAGTCCTGGTTCAGTCCTGGTTTAGTCCTGGTTCAGTTCTGGTTCAGTCCTGGTTTAGTCCTGGTTCAGTTCTGGTTCAGTTTTGGTTTAGTCCTGGTTTAGACCTACTTCAGTCCTCGGATCAGTCCTGGTTTAGTTCTGGTTCAGTCCTGGTTTAGTCCTGGTTCAATCCTGGTTCAGTCCTGTTTCAGTCCTGGTTTAGTTCTGGTTCAGTCCTGGTTCAGTCCTGGTTCAGTCCTGGTTCAGTTCTGGTTCAGTCCTGGTTCAGTCCTGGTTCAGTCCTGGATCAGTACATATACAGTGCAAAAGTTCAGCATCACAGTTATTTTGGTGAGAGTAACTTAAAAGTAATGTAATAGTAATGTAATGCCTTACATCTTAAATGCACTAATATTCTAATGTAATGATTCCACAGTTTTTCACTTAATCACTCTCACTTTTTTTTGTTGAAAATCAAACTCCTAAACAGAACTTGAACACTTGTATGGATCACAGGCTCCTGAAAATGTGCTCTTTAAATTCATTTTGTGTTTTTGCTTGAGTTTTCAGACTATATAAAACAGACTGTGTTTGTGTACAGAAGAGTGCATTCTGTTGTCATGGTAACTAAATATTCTTTCAACATAAGCAGTGGTACCATTGTCCGGACGGATCCAAGCATCGGCCGGAGTGTGTTGGCCAGGGGTCCGTTTGCGTCGTTGATGTGAGAGTTGGTTTTCTGTCCAGCAGAGTCAATGTAGATGTACTCTGTACCTGTGCGCTGCTCCGTTCCAGGAGCCTTGTACAGGACGTACCTGAAGAGAGAGGATTATAGTCACAACAAACCACGAAGAATGATAAAGCTTTCAAAAGGAGTCATTTCATTTCACCAATCACCCAAGAGGCTTTGTCATCTGTCTACACTCACTTCACAGCCGTGTGTGTACAGTTTGTGAAACTGTACCAGCTCATCGTACAAGTCCATGGAAATGCTCCATGAATGTTGATTTTCCTTTTAGTGCTGACCTCAGACCTCAGAGAAAACCTTGTGGCTAAGAAGCAAAACTCACTCAAACTCACACCAGGTTTACACTAACTGCGAGGGAAGTTCAGCACATACTTTGAGTAGGTTACTTTCAGTTCACCTGTTACACTACAGTGTACTACAGTGTGGATTTGACAGAAGCAGTGTGGTTTTACACAGGTTCTCATGATAACATGTGTCAAATGACCTGAAAACTGCTCCTGCCACACTCAGCAGGCAGGCTGAGTGTGGCAGGAGCAGAGGTCAATGTGGCAGGTGAGGAAGTCAGTATACACCCAGTGTAAAATCTTAAATCCACATCTACTTCTTGAAATCATGGATCCTTTTAACATAAATCCATATTCACTTTAGTTATATAGAATATTTTATAAACAACAGTTACAAAAGTACTGCCCATATAACATTAAAATAACAACAAAAGGTATAAATGTTCAATTTAACCTTTTAAAACCAATGAAGTCAAAAAAAACCAACAGTCAGAAACCCTGGTTATACATGTGTGTAAGTGCTGTAGACTCTACACTGTACAGAGACTGTACATAGATGTACACTACTGGTCAAAAGTTTTAGAACACCCTAATTTTTTTTTCCAGTTATTTATTGCAATTCAAGTCATGCAAGTCCAATGAAGAGCTTGAAATGGTACAAAGGTAAATACTGCAGACAGACGTTAAAAAAAAGATAAAAAACAAAACACAAGTCCAAGCTCT